CAGACTCGTTATCGTCGCCACATCTGACAGTTGGGTAAGTTGAGCATCGCATCGCATCGGATGGCATTCGCAGCATCCGCTTCAATTTCGGGGCCAGGCTTCAGTTTCTCAGTTTCAGTTCAGTTTCGCAGTTCAGTTTTCCCAGCTCGAGTTTTCGGCTGCCAGCCAGCAGCCAACAGCCCAGCAGCGTGCCAAGGTAGCTTCGTCGCTCAGCTTTTCAGATATAACCGTTACAAGGACGCCGCCTGACCAAAACGAAAGCAAACGAATCGAAACGAAACGAGCGGCAGGCCAGGCCATGCGGGGAAGGGAATGTGGATGGCGAAAGGAAGCGGCAAGGATTTTGCGCAGTCCTTCCTTCGCATAAGTCGCTCTGCTCATTTTATTTAATTTTTTTCCGTATTTTTTTTGTATGTCTTTTTGCACACGCACCACGAAGAGCAAAGGCAGAAGGAAACCCTCACACACACACACAATAACATACACACACACACACAGTCACAAACAAACACGCACACAAAGACGCGGGTGAGGGAGGCAGAGGCAAGTTTTGTGAATGAAATTTCGCGCAGGCACAAAGCGGCCAAACAATGTGATAAAAAGGGAGACAGCGGCAGGATAGCCCCGCCAACCCCCAAATCCCTCGGGCAAGTCACGCGGCGAGCGGATGCACAGAGAGCCTGCCGTCCTTTCGTCCTGCTGGCTGCCCCACCGAACCACCAACCTCCTCCCCCAATCCTCAAAAACAAAAGCAAAAACAAACAATGCCGCCCGAAAACAGAGTCCTTTTTCTTATATTCAAAGTTTTAAAAGTTCAAATAATTTAAGGCTTAACTATAATTATTTTAATGTTATTTTATTTTCCCTAATTGTTTAAAATATTTCATAAAATACAAAATATGTATAAAAGTGAATTTTGAGCTGAATATAACTTCCTCAAGGTCCTTCTGTGTATGTAAGAAGCTTCTTGGGGCTGCTTCCTTTCTTCCTTTAGTCCCGTTATTATTTTTATTGTTGGTGTTTTTGCTGGTGTTGTTATTGTAGCGGGCGTGGTGTCTGCTCTGGTGCCTTCCTGGAAACGCTGGAAGGCAAAAGGGAAACTAAACTAATGCTCAGCGCTTATCGATGATGACGAGGACGAGTGCGAGTGCGAGTGCGAGGACGAGTACGACGATGGCTGTGACTCAGATTCGAAATCGGACTAGGGACTACGGACTCAGACTCGTTTGGACCGTCTTGACCCACAAATGGGCCCTGCTGTCTGATAATTATGCCAGCTACGAACTGCGAACTGCCAGCCATTGGAGATGGCGCTAGAGATACCGTTAAATGCGCGCAATAAAACCTAAACCGGATGGCGGTGGTGCTGGTGGTAGTGGTGGTTGGGTATAACGGTTACCCAAAATAGCGGTTATTGCAATCCTCACAATGGCGCAGGTTGGAAAAGTAAACAAAGAAAAACCAATATCCGTAGTTCAAGTATAATCCTTAGCTGGATAAATTAATTTATTTTGAACTTATAACCTTATCTTAAAAGCCAACAGGATCATTCTTATGTATTTTTAATCATAAAAATAAATTGAAAATTAAATAAAATTAGTTTTTTGCTAACTTTACTATCACAAAAGTGATAAAATTTGATAAGCAGTGTAGCGCATTCGCTGGCCAACCATTTAAGGACACTCACACCCGAACCCTTATATCTCTACATATGCAGCACGTAAAATGTAAATTCTTATGGAATGTGGGTAGACGCGAGTATGTGTGTGTTTGTGTTTGTAGATGGGTGTGTGAGAGTGCGGGTGTTTTTGTTGCTGGGTGATAAAGCCATAGATAGACCGTGGGTGCATGAGTGTGGATAATGGCTCGTCGCAAAGTCGAAACGCACACACCAAGCCACCGAATGTCTGCACACGCCTCAAGCCCACCCAGCCACCCACTCCGATACCCATACCATCACACACACATACACTCTCACACAAACACGGACACGCATACATGCGCGCCTCACATAATAAGGTGCGATTTGTCTCGCGCATAAAACGAAATTTCCTGCACACAAACACACTGAAAAGAACGGGAAGACAGACAAAGGAGTGGGCGGAGAGGGGGCTGAAAAGGGGTGGTGGCAAGGAGCAAGGAGCTGCAGGATACTACACTTAAGAAGGTAACTTAAGATTGGTGAAAAAAGGGGTATTATCAAAATGATTTTAAAAGGATTTTTGTATTTTTTATTAATAAAATTAAAAACAATATGAAAACTATTTATTTTAAAGTTTTAATATCATTATTATTATTTTTTTTTAGACTGTAGCTGGCCAACAATAGTCGGCATCTTTTGGGAGAGCGAGGGGCAAGCTTCGATTGCTTTGTTGCTTGTACATGACAGCAGCATTGGGTGTCTCTATGCGTTTGTGTGTGTGTTTGTGGGTGAGAGGGTAAAGATGGCGGGTGGGCAGGATGGCTATAGCGCGGGGGGTCCGCATCTTTGTAGGTTAAGGCTTATGTCAAAGCAGGAAAATGGGCGACAAAAGGCGAAAGACGAGGCAAACTCGTTTGCCATAATTATTGCTTTTGTTGGTAGCTATCGTCCTTCCTCAGCAACCTAACCGAACCGGCTCCAGCTCCGGCTCCTGCCTTGCAATCCTGGGCATTATTATTTTAACCGGAAATGTGCACATATGGGTGAGTGTGTGTGCGTACAATTTGTGAACTGCATGAACTCTTGGGCCCGAGGCTTGGTCAAAAAAGGAAGAGTTTCCTGTGTGTGTGCCGGCATTTAGCAAATTTTTTATGACAATGTTCCATCTAGGAGTCCATCTCTTTCCACTCGACCGGGCCTTAATTTTATGACAAATATTATGTTAAAGACCGAATATGCGCTACACCATAAAAGTCAATCATTTTTCATTCCACCTCCCACGCACCACCGCCCTCCGGTAGCAGCCCTTCTTCCTCTATTTTTTTTTGTGTCCACTGGGGACATTTAATTTTGGGTTTTTTTTTTCTGCTGTCGGTTGTGATTTTTCTTGATATGCGATATCTTTTTTTTTTTTTTTGGCCTGAGCTCTCTCCGGCTGTTTCTCTATCTCTCACTCTGAGTCCCGTGTTCTGCCGTCCACTGGCCGAGCTTTTGTTGATATTTGGCGCGGCCAGCTTCAATTTATGTTCTGTTTGCCTTTATTGTCTTTCTCGGCTTTTTCCCTTCACTGTACAGGAGAAAAGCGTTAAGGCGAAAATCCAAATAAAAAAAATGGAAATCAAGGAAATTACTTCAGAAATCCTGACGAGATCCATCATAGTTTTGGACTAATTTTTTACTTTATATTCCAATATAAATATTGGCTTTAATTACAGAGTCTCGACTGTAACTTCGTTTGGGTGTGTGCTGTTTTTTGCCGCTCCTTGCCGCCGCTTTCATTTTTTTATTGATAAGTTCATTTAATGGGCCTGGCCTCCGCCAGCTGCCATTACTGTCTCTCTTTCACTCTCTTGCCGCCTTTCCATACATATATCCTCCTCGCAGGATACCGTCACCCCTCGATTTTGCCTGCGCCTCTGGACTACCGCCATTGTCTCTGTTTGACATTTGTTGAAGTGGCCGCCTAATGAGTTTAATGCTTTGTTATCATCGCTGTAATCGGCTTATGTAATATGGCAATATAATTGAATCCCAAAATTATGTCATTCCGCTAAGACCTGCCACTGCCGCGGTACTCCGGCTGTCGAATGGAATTTACAATTGCAAATTACCATTGCCTACTCAGAGGCGCGCTGCACCTGCCCCAAAAAAAAAAACCAGGCAGGAAACGGAAGAGGGAAAACGGGAAACTGTGTATGTTTGCTCGACATTGTCAACAAGGGAAAGCCACTTTCACTCAGCGAGCAAATGAAACTTAACGGAAAAGAAAATTACATCATGCTCGTCTCAATGGGTCGACATAATATTATTTTCTCGGCCCGGGTCCCTTTCCCGCTGAGAGCGGGCGAGAGAGCGAGAATGTGGTAGGGAGGGAGGGAGATAGAAAGATAGATGGAAGCATAGCACCCAACGGGTCCTTCCCCTCCAGCTCCAGCTCACATGCCGCACATCCTTCGTCCCCCTGGGTTGTAGTCAATTTTTTATTTATTTATTTTATGCCTACGCACATACGCGCCTTGGGAAACGAAACGAAAGGCAAGGAATGGAATGGAAGGAAAAGGAAAGCTGGGAGGCAGTTTGACAGGTGTCGCCGACTGAGTGGCTGCCTGACAGACTCGCAAAAGTGGGTGTGGCCCGTCGAGGGCCGCGAGCGGGGCGGGAAGGGCGGACCGGGTGAAAAATGGTAGCCTATTATTCTTTGTATTGTTTTATGTGGCATTTATACGCGTATTTTTGTCGTCTTTTAATAGGCGAGGCGAACACCAGGCCAGGACGAAAGGAAAGCGAATACCCCGAGTGGAAAATAACAAAGGCAATAGACCAACCAACCACCCAGTGGCTGGAGGGCTTCTCTGGCCCTATCGCCATCCAATCAGTAGATAAATAACACATAAAATGAGGTGCTTAATCGGGTTTGAAGTGATGAAAGTGAAACTGAGCCATGAGTATGCGGAGCGTCAGTCCGTCCTACGGTCCGTCCGTCCCTCCGTCCGGTTGCGTGTGTCCCGCCGTAGGCCATGTCTTTGTCTCCGGCGTAAATCTCAAGTATCAACTCTGTATTTGAATATCATTTGCGGCCACCAAATTTGGTGTGTGCGTGTCCTTCAGGCGTGACAACATAATTCCACTCTAAATTGCAGCGCGTAGCCAAGTAATTTGTCACCATTGTTTGCATAAATTAGGTAGCCGCAAACGCTTGATTGGCAAGTTCTCCAAAAACACGGAAATAAACATTCTAAGCCGCGGCAGTTATTTGAAACTACCGCCTTTCCCTAAAAGCTATCGAAATTCTTGTATATTTCTATCGATGTATCGGCAAGGGTGGTTTTACGTTGAGGATTTGCGGTCACACTAAGTACCACTCCAGCTGGGACAAAAAATTCTTAAGTTTTTATGGCTGACCTAAAACAAATCTAAAAAAACGCCAAAGAAAACCCTTAATTTAAAATAGACATCACCGTCTGCCTGTGGCGTGTGTCGATTGTGAGGCTGTGTTGTTGCTAACATTCAGCTGAACTTTGTTTATTATGTGCTAACTTCAAACAACGCACAACTGACGAATCGACAAAAACATTGGGAAACCCCAAGGCCAGCGGCCGGAGGATCCGTTAAAAGAACCCGGCGTAACCTAATAGACCGGATTCTTCAGGCATATGGAAGCTAGAAGGGATAGCTAAACGCCCCAAGAGAAGCACAAATCGTGGTCGGGTTTAACGCCCACAAAACGGCTGCGGCATTTCGAAAAGTGTACACCGTAACCCCGAAAACAATTAAGTGGTAAAAACTGCATAAATTATCCAACTGTATCATTATTAAAGCTAAATATGTTCATTAAGCGAACTTGTTGCTGCACATCGCAAAATGTAGGCATTTTGCTACTGGAATTTATTGATTTTGTATTGTTATCAGTACCCTCTCTCCACCCCTCTTTCCAACCTAGTCCAACCAACACCGTTTACCTTTTTTATTTACCAACCAAACAATTGACAATGGAAACCGCTTATCAGTCACTCCCCTGCCAATCATGCTAATTTATTTATACCCATTCGATCGGTGATCTACGGATAATCCGTAATTGGATGGCCTGAGTAATCTGTCCCAGCTGGAACGGCAGATGCTAATTGCGAGACAGCTCTGTTAATTAATTTGCAACTCCATCGCTTGTCAGAACGATTTCAATCGAATGGAACGTGTTAAATGCCAATTTGCGCTTTGAACGCCGCACCCACTCATTGAACACAAAATCAATAAATGCAATTCCTGGCCTGCCCTCTGAACTTTTCAACTTTTGTATAAACACTCCCAATTCCTCATTTCTCATTCCAGTTGCAATGACCGAATAGACTCGAGTGGTTATCTGCCTGGGAATAACAATTAAATCGCCTGGTGCGACTCTAGATTTAATTATTTTTGAAAAGCAGACGAAAGCTAACCGAAACCAAAATGAAACAGAAACGCTGGCGCCACAAGCGTAAATAGTTATTTGCCTTCAGATAACTGCAGGAGAAAGACATCCCGAGCGAAAAATAAACATAATTTGTTTAAAAAACATTCCGAAAGGCAAATAGAGGCCAACAAAACCATGCTCGGTCGCACGCAAAAGCTGCTGCTGGGCATAGCGATACTTATTCTAGTCGACGTTGTTTGGGTCTCCTCCAGCGAGCTAACTAAGGTGATGATTTCCCCTTCTAAACCTATACATTTAACAATAATGATGACTAACTTTTTATCCACAGTTTTTGTACAATGAGGCAAAGTTTGATAAGCCATTCTTTTGTACATACTTCAAAACATCAATGTTTAGCATTTATCTGCTAGTCATAGGAATCCTGGCGCCCTGGAAGGAATCCTGCGAGCGACAAAATGGAAACTATGCTGTAAGAAAGATCCACAAAAACTCTTTAGAAAATATATATATGTTTTAATGTCTTTTTAGATGATGGAGCAGAATGCAGACGATGAGAACTATTACTCCAATCAAGCTGTTTTGGTATTTAAATTGTTTTCTATATCAGTAACCAGATATTGAAAAACCTTTATCCTGCAGGGAGACCCCACCTATGTGCCCATTAGATCGCCCCACTTAGGCGCCACAGCTAACGGCAGCGCCAACTCTTTATCTGGTACCGAGAGTGATGATTCCAGTGTCCGAAGTGTGCGTTTCAGCAAGATGGCCGAGGTCCGCGAGATGTCTGCCCACGAAGCCACTGATGCTTTAATGGCACGCCTCTCCTATGCCGCCAGCTTGAGGATAAGAAGGCAAAAGACCCACCACAAGACAGCAAAGACAGCGCTCCTGTTCTGCCTGCTCTGGTTCGTTGCCAACTACTTTTTCCAGTTGGCTTTGGAAATGGACGAGACTGCCATGATAACGCTGGTGAGCTCGACGTCGTCATTTTTTATTATCTGCCTGGCAGCTGTATTTCCCTCGGCAACCGGCGACAAGCTGACCATCACCAAGCTGATTGCCGTGGCCATGAATATTGGCGGAGTGGTGGCCATCACCTTAAACGATCTACACGACACAAAGATGACGAGAGGCGTTCTCTTGGCGCTCTTTAGTGCTTTCTTTTATGCCGCCTATCTTGTTTTCGTTAAGCGAAAAAGCGATACCGAGGAAAAGGTCGATATACCTTTATTTTTTGGTAAGTAGAACCCGAAAAATATATGTGATACCTTTTATAACTGATTGGTTTCTTTTAGGCTTTGTCGGTCTCTGGAATCTTTTGCTATTGTGGCCTATCTTTTTCATTCTGCACTTTACGAAGATCGAGACATTTGAATTGCCTAGCCAAGGTCAGTTTGCCCTGCTTTTTCTAAACGGCTTGATTGGCACCGTTCTGGCCGAGGCTCTGTGGCTATGGGGGTGCTTTCTCACCTCTTCGCTAATAGGAACGCTGGCCATGTCATTGCAAATTCCGCTGGCCATCATGTTCGACGTTCTGCTTAAGAATAAGCCCTATTCACCCATGTTCTATATGGGTTCCATACCGATCTTCGTAGCTCTTGTGCTTGTTTCGCTTCTTATGCGAAATGACGATTCCGACCCTCTAATGAAGCTGTTCAAAATTGTATATAGAAAAGTCTGCGGTTGCCATAAGCCGAGCATTGTTAGGTGAGTCACCCCATTGAAAAAAATCCGAGTACAACTATAATATAATTTTTTTACAGAGTCAACGACGATGAACAGCAGGAGTCGCTGATAAGCAACAGCGATTGAATGAACGCTTTTTTGTGAAAATCGCGCTTCGACACACTTTGAAAGTTGCTCATTGCAATGCAATCTAAAACTTGGCTGTTCACGAGTTCGTTTCGAATCGTTCTTTAATCTGTAGGGACAACTCATGCACAATTCCTTCTCCGCCTCCACTTGTGTTTCTCATTTTGTGCATTTTGCGTTCGATATTAAGTTGCGATTGTACGTACAATTTATTTATTATATTCCTACAAGTATATTATCTGTAAATAGCTTTAGCTCGTACGAATACCGTTTATCTATGTGATAGTCTTTAACGTTTTGCTGAAGTCCACCTTTAATTTATTGTGTTTCCCTAATATTCAAACTGCGCTTATCTGTATAATTGTTGACTTCTCGAAAGCAAGAGTATAGAAAGGAGATAAATATTATATGCACACATATTTATAGCTATAACAATAATTTCAAATTGTCTACCGTAAGCTTACAAAAATAAAAGCAGATCATGTGAAACTATGCCTAATGCAAAATATACGTATGCAATATAAACGTGTAATAATATGGGGTTTTTTATATATTTCTCATTTCACAGTTTTAAGCGACGCAGTGCGGGATTCACAGAGTATCTCGATGTTAGAGATTGAGGCCGACTCTTAACCCACATCGAATTCGACTAGAATACCTTAAACGAATCGTAGATCGATTCTCAACAAATCTGCATTAAAACCTGAAAACAATCTTATTTGACGATTTATTTTTTAATTTTCTGGGGAGTCCCCTTCAAAATGTGGGAATGGCATGGGGAGCACTGTCGGTACCACTGCGATGGCTATATCTTGGCCAATATTTGTCCGATTCTTTATCGGAATACCTTAAACGATTTTTGGATCTATTCTCCATCAATCTACATTAAAATCTATGAAAGGAATTTTTTTTCGATTTTTTGCAAATTTTCTGGGGAGTCTCCTCACAATTTGTGGAAAATGCATAGAGAGCCCAGTCGGTCCCACTGCGATGGCTATATCTTGGCCAATATTTGTCCAATTCTTAATCGGAATACCTTATACGATGTGTGGATTGAATCTCCACCATTCTGCATTAAAATCTAAAAAGGGAATTTTTTTTTAATTTTTTGCAAATTTTCTTGGGAGTCGCCTTCCAAATGTTGAAAATGCATGGGGAGCCCAGTCGGTCCCACTGCGATGGCTATATCTTAGCCAATATTTGTCCGATTCTTTATCGGAATACCTTAAACGATTTGTGGATCTATTCTCTATCAATCTACATCAAAATCTATGAAAGGAATTTTTTTTCGATTTTTTGTCAAATTTTCTGGGGAGTCCCCTTCAAAATGTGGAAATTTTATGGGGAGTACAATCGGTCCCACTGCGATGGCTATATCTTGGCCCATATTTGTCTGATTCTTAGCCGGAATATCTTAAACGATTTTTGGATCGACTCTCTATCAATCTGCATCAAAACCTAAGAAAGGAATTTTTTTTAGATATTTTGTCAAATTTTCTTGGGAGTCCTCTTCAAAATGTGGAAAATGCATGGTTAGCACTGTTAATCCCACTGCGATGGCTTTATCTTGGCCAATATTTCTCCGATTCTTAATCGGAATACCTTAAACGATTTGTGGATCGATTCTCCACCAATCTGCATCAAAATCTAAAAAAGGAATTGTTTTAGATTTTTTTTCAAATTTTCTGGGGAGTCCTTCAAAATGTGGAAAATGCATGGGGATCACAGTAAGGCATACTGCTATGGCTATATCTTTGACAAAACCCATCCGATTCTACAGTGGAATACCATAAGCGAATCGTAGATCGATTCTCTATAAATCTGAATCAAAGCCTGAAAGCGGATTATTATTTTAGCTTTTGTCAAATTTTTAAAATTGGTTCATAAAATTTTTGTAGTTAAGCCGTTGGCTAATGTGACCTTATTGTATTGTGGGGTGAGCAAATATTTATTGTCGTCTGGCAACTCCAAACCTAACTTTGGGCTGTCGAAGAGTATCGATAAATTATCGACTGCCCTATCCAGTAAACACTGTACCCTCCCACGAAACCCCAACACGAAGCAGCTACTTGCCACTCGCTCAAAGGTTTTCGAAAGATGAAGTTGATTCTATCCGCGCTGCTGGTAGCCCTTGTGGCCGGCATTGTCTGTGCCGACGACTCCAAAGGGCCCAAAGTGACCGACAAGGTAAGCATTTCTGTCCTGATTTTGCAATTGGCGTCACTCAACACACACAAAAGCGCCCCTCTCCCACACCCACACCGGTTGTTTGGCGATAAATCAAGTGAGATGATGTTTAATAATAAGCATTTTTTGCGGCGCAGGTTTTCTTTGACATCACCATTGGCGGTGAGCCCGCTGGACGCATCGTGATTGGACTGTTTGGCAAGACTGTTGAGAAGACCGTGAGGAACTTCAAGGAGCTGGCGGAGAAGCCCCAGGGCGAAGGGTAAGTTGCGGTTCTTCATTAACGGCAAACCTACACTAGCGCAGACTAGAACGATAGGCTATATACATAATACATTCTATGTATGGGGAGCCAGGGGTCTTCAATCAATTACGTGGCGTTTGAGAGGCAATCAAAGCAAATCTCAGAGCAATGGGATAACAATGCCTTTTTCTTTTCTATTCTTCTATTTATTGCGCTTCAACGATATAGCTACAAGGGTAGCAAGTTCCACCGCATCATCAAGGACTTCATGATCCAGGGTGGAGACTTCACCAAGGGCGATGGCACCGGCGGACGTTCCATCTATGGCGAGCGCTTCGAGGACGAGAACTTCAAGCTGAAGCACTATGGCGCCGGCTGGCTGAGCATGGCCAACGCTGGCAAGGACACCAACGGCTCCCAGTTCTTCATCACCACCAAGCAGACCAGCTGGTTGGATGGCCGCCACGTCGTCTTCGGCAAGGTCCTGTCCGGCATGAATGTGGTGCGCCAAATCGAGAATGGCGCCACCGATGCCCGCGACCGTCCCGTCAAGGATGTTGTCATCGCCAACAGTGGCAGCCTGGATGTTCCGGAGCCCTTCTCCGTAGCCAAGACTGATGCCACCGATTAAGCGAGGCGTCCATGTCACAATTCATCATTAAACCTAACCGATTTGAATTAAGCATAAAAAGCATAAATGTGCAAGTAATCGATTTTTCCAGCCAGCTGCATTTGCATTTACCGTAGTCCACCATGATCATAGACATTCATTTTGTTCCGTAAGCAGGCTGCCCTGCTCAACTAAACTAAACAGTTCTGCGTAAACAAATGTCATATAAATAAAGCATATTTTTTGTGATAAACGAGATGGATTCACTTGATTCTTGATTTTCTTTTGTTTAATGTTCTCTTGTGTGTGTATACCTTCGATGGCGTTCAGGTTCAATGAACCGGTTTTGGAACCCCTTCAGTGCTTCGCGGCGCTTTCTTTTGGCGACTTCCCTTAACCGAAAACAGGTTTTCTTCTGTTGCTAATTTGTTTGCTGTTGTATTCTCCATCTGTTCCCGATTTAATTCTTTCCGATGCCGGGCCGGCTCTTTTGTTGCTTCGGCAAACAAAATGTCAAGTCACATTTTTCTCATTTGCACACTTGCTGTAATTTAAAGTGCACACCAGATGAGCCCATACAGTGTATATTTAGATATTTAGGGACTTGATTTAAAGAACAGGTGCAAGGTTGCTTCCCAAAATAAAATTGGGCTAAAATAATTGGGTCAGTAATTAGTTAATTAACAACTGAAGAACCCAGAAAGTTATAACTTTCAAAACCCAATTAGAGGTAAATATTTTGTTTCAAATTTATGATGAACTGGCTTTTTTTTGCTGAAAACTCAAATCCAATCAACAAAGACTCTCTCGGAAATAATCAACGAGATATCCCATAAACATTTCCACCCTTTACCCCGTCTAGACTATATTTTTTTGAAAAGAGAAACAATAAACTCAAGAGTCTGACGATCTCATATCGCTCTACCAGGAATATATATGTACATATGTATGTCGGTGCAATAGTACCCCAGTCCCCAACTCGATCTGTGTACATTAATGAAGGCAATATAGGAGTATATATACAGCTACATGGTGTGGTGTATTGGTGTCTGGTGGCTATCTCATGTGCCACACATGTTCCAGTAGCCACAGAAATTCTGGACGCACTTCTAAGATTATTTTCCGCAGCGCAATCAGTTCATATTTTTGTTTTGTGGGGAATTCGAAAGGCGCAAGGAGAGATTACTTCAGTCTGATTTGTTTGCTCAGAGGAGCCGGAAGAGTTTTCCAAATGAAATTTCCATAAATCCGGCACAAGTTCCAGAACCCGAAGACTAATTAATTTAATTAAGAAATATGGTAAATTATTTTTAATTGTCACATCTACCGGTCGAGAAACCGGAATACTGATAAGGAAATGCTCCAGCATCTTCCGTTTGATGATGTGTACTTGCCGGTTTGACCTAAATTTAAATATATACTAAAATATGATGTGAACCTGCAGGAATCTCTTTGGAATCGTTGGTTTCTATTGGCGGTTTGCGTCTTGGTTAGTGGACACTTTTCAAATGGGGCCAAGATCCTGGTACTTTTCCCTCATGCCAGTGAGGGTCACTTTGCGGTTATGCGAACTTTGGTAGCGGAATTAGCCAGTCGGAATAATCAGGTTAGTTACAGGGATTAAGGCCCTTATAGATCCTAACAATAATAGCTTAAACCTTTTAGGTTTTTGTCTATACGGGTCACGGTTTAGGGGAAACGTTGGAAAATGTCAACGAAACAGTTACGGCGGAGTATCCTTTTTGGACTGAACGTAAGTGGTTTCAAAAAGAGATCTAAAATTGTAAAATATATATTTATATTCTCTTTTCAAACCCAGTTCAAAAGGAAACGGTTCCCAAAGGAAATCTTGCGGATCTTGGCCAAATACCCATCGAGAATCTTCGACAAGCCCTGGCCACAGTGGGAGCCAGAGCCCTTGATCACTTCCTCGCCCAAGAACCCATTCAGAAATTGCTGAAAATGTCCTACATCGAGTTCGATTTTGATGTAATTCTAGTGGATTACTTTTACACGGAGGGACTTTTGGCCCTGGGACTTCTCCACCAGCGGCCAGTGGTGGGGATTATTTCCACAGACTTTGGAGGCTATATGGATGCAGTGCAAGAAGCACTGGTGCCTTCAGCCTGTGCCCCTATCGATTTCGAGAACGATGTGCCCCAGTTGGGGTTCAGCGAGAGGTTGGGCTATATTAGGAGATGTATTACACGAAGGAAGCAGTTCGACAAGGACCATTATGGAGCTCAGAAGCAGCTGGTAGCCAAGCACTTTAAGATGCAGAACACCATCCCGGAATTGCAGGCCAACCAACTCTCGCTCTTGCTGCTCAACAGCCATGTTCCACTGATGACTCCACGGGTTAGCATCCCGCAGATTGTTCCCGCCGGAGGATTGCACATTCGTGGACCCAAGGAGCTACCTTGGAACATAAAAAAATTTCTGGACGAGGACCGACCAGGCACCATCTACGTGCAGCTGGGAAATGAGCAGCCTTGCGGACAGCTGCCCAAGGAAAAACTAAAGGCGCTTTTCTCATTCTTCTCCGGCAGAAAGGAGGGCTTTATCTGGACCTGTCACGATGTGAAAACCTTGAAGGACTTGCCCAAGAATGTGCTGATCCAGCATGCGGTTCCCCAGATCGATATTCTGGCGTATCCTTCTATGAAAGCTTTTCTAACCAACGGGGATCTGCTCAACCTGCAGGAAGGAATCATAAGGAACGTTCCCATTCTGGGCTTGCCCCTTTTCCAGCATGAAAAGAAGAACTTGGAGCTGGCAGTTCGCTTGGGCGTGGGCATCCAGCTGGACGAGAATAACGTCACGACTACCTCTCTGAACTGGGCGGTGGATCGATTGCTAAGGGAATCACATTTTCAACTAAATATCCGAGAGGTTTCCCAGGAGTACAGGGATCGTCCCCTGGGTGCCTTAGCTAGTGCCCTGTTCTGGGTGAATTACGTGGTGCGTCACAAGGGCGGAGCTGCGGTAAGAACCCGTGGCATTGGGATCTCTTCCAGCGAACTTCATTTATTCGATTTGGTTGTCTTCTATGGCATCGTGGCTACCATTGTGGTTGGTTTCTTAACGGCCCTGAGTATTGGGGGCATTTATTTGTGGCAGAAAAAGAACAGTGCCATATTGTCAACTAAACAAAAATAAGTCTTAAATATGTAAATAAAGTGCCACCAAAGCTATTTTATGTCTGTTTGTATTCGTAAAAAAGAAGCTTACAAATAGCAAGGCCAAAACCTGATCTGGGTAGCAGATTTAAAATTCCCGCGCCACTTTCTAATTATCGATAATTAAACAGTGGTGCCCAGCACACTAAAGATTGCAGTCCGGTAACACTGGTCGAAAACTTCTGGCGCGTGAAAGTGGTACTGTAAAGTAAGACCGTGGCAGGTATTGGTCGGAAATAGCCATATCTGTGGGACTGATCTGGCCACACTTCCTTTCCAAAAAATCGCCATTGCAACGAGACGTGTTTAAAACCTTTTCAAGTGTTTTAAAAGGTAATTACCGCATAAAACTGTGTTAAGATCCAGCCAAAAGTAGCCACTTGAGTGGCGGAGCACCTCCCTTTGGAGGCAGCTCTGCGGATTAGTGCTAAAACCGAAATTGCAAGTGAGGTGTCACACGTGGGACTGCGGAGCACCAAACGCTGGGCAGTGAGGTTATGTTGATTCCCCCATCGGAGGGGGACAACAACAATCCAGATTGGCTATTTTGTGTGAAGTGATCGCAAAATCTTATTGACTTATTTCTTGTTGCAGCTCCGTCAAAATGTCAGGTACAACCGCCACCATCCGCACCCGCAAGTTCATGACCAACCGCCTGCTCGCCAGGAAACAGATGGTCTGCGATGTTCTGCACCCCGGCCTGTCGTCCGTGAACAAGACCGAGATCCGCGAGAAGCTCGCCGCCATGTACAAGGTCACCCCCGATGTGGTCTTCGTCTTCGGATTCCGCACAAACTTCGGAGGCGGCCGCTCCACTGGCTTTGCCCTCATCTACGACACTCTGGACTTCGCCAAGAAGTTCGAACCCAAGTACCGCCTGGCCCGTCACGGCCTCTTCGAGCAGAAGAAGCAGACTCGCAAGCAGCGCAAGGAACGCCGCAACAGGATGAAGAAGGTGCGCGGTACCGCCAAGGCCAAGATTGGCACTGGCAAGAAGTAAACCCTGAGCCAGATCCTGGTCCCGCGGGTGGGTGTGAGTGGGTTGTCGGCGACTCGCTGCAGCGCTCCTCGACAATTCCCGAAAGCTGCTGGTTATGCGTTAGTTACACTTTTTTACCAACAACCCAAATGGACAACAAACAAAATCAGTGTTTACTTTTGGAGCAGCTTTTGTTTGTAAACTAAGAAAATAAAACAAAAAAAAGTATACTAATTGTGTTCATTTATAAAGGTTTAGTGTATATTTAATGTTTAGCTTGATTATTGTTTGATTGGAGATTAAAAAGTTAAATGAAAGGTTAAAAGGATGATGCTAAAAGCTTTAAAAAATGTACCACTTGTTGGAATTTGGCAGAAAATAATCTTGAAAGATAATTTGTTTGTCTACTTTTAAAATATTGAAATACAGGTTGGTTTTGTAAATTAAATGTTCATTTAAGAGTGCAAATTATAAAACATTTAAAAATACACGACTATCATTCGGAAAAACTAATTTCCTGAAATTAAAATAAATTTGAAAAAATCGTGTGGCCAGAATTGTCATTACCCTGGCCACACATTTATGTCCTAAGCCAAGACACGAACCATAAATATGAGACAGGACCGACATCTAGGTTATCTGGGCACACCAAAAATACTGTCATTGCAAAAACCGGGATTCGTATACAGAATATTTGTAAAGAAAAATCTCGTTTATATGCCTTTACGGAGGCTACAGGACAATCCGGACCTTGAGAAGCCATCATCCAGAGCAGAAACCCTTCCAGCCTTCTAAACATGTCCAGTTCTAATGGTGGCGGTGGAAGCAGTGGGGGTGGAGGAGGCGTCGCCTCTGCTGGTGATTGGATTTGCCCAGATTACGAGTGAGTGCGCGTGATGATGCAGGGACGGCCTCCGCCTCGAGCGGGGCATACAGGAAGTACTAGCAACGAGTGCGCCGAATCTTACCTTTCCCACGATTTTGCAGCTGTCGCCACCTAAATTTTGCCCGACGCATGCAGTGTAACAAATGCGATCGAGAACGTGATGGCGGTGATAAGCCAGAGCGGGAAAGGGACCGGGACCGGGACCGAGACAGAGATCGCGGAAATGGGAGCAGCAGCAGTAGCAGTAGTTCCAGCAAAAAGAAGCTAGGTACGGAGATCGGCAAGGCGGCGGCAGACAAGTCAAGGGGCCTGTTCAGCGCTGAGGACTGGCAGTGCAGTAAGTGCGCCAATGTCAACTGGGCTCGACGCCAGACCTGCAACATGTGCAATGCCCCAAAGTTCTCGGATGTGGAGGAGCGAACTGGTAAGCGCCAATAAGACCCCTGCAGCTCCTCACTCTGACAGGAATGTTTTTCAGGTTTCGGCGGAGGCTACAACGACCGAGGTGTTGTTGAGTACAAGGACCGGGCGGATTCGGACAGCGAGTATGACGAATTTGGACGGAGAAAGAAACGGAAACAAAACGATAACCATGAGAATTCAAAACGGGCCAGGAGGTCCAGCCGCAATGATGAGAAAGAAGAGGAGGAGGATGATGAGGACGATGAAGATGGAGATGACGAGGATCTTTCCAAGTACGATCTGTGGGGCGACGACGAAGTCACCTCGACGGATTTGAAAAGTAAAGCGCCTACGGGCAATGGAGAGAAGGAAGCAAAGGATCGCAGAAAGCGCACATCGCGAGACTCCTCTTCCTCTGTGTCCTCGTCATCGTCCAGTTCGTCGAGCAGCAGCGATTCGTCATCGAGCAGCTCGAGTAGCTCTAGCAGCGGTGGCGATGGTGGTAAGCGCAGGCCAGGATCACCAGGCAGGCGCTAGCCACACCAACAATCTTTTAGCAATTGTCTTATATTTCACATTTACTATCACACATTTCTTGCGGGCGAATTATATTGCTCGTTTATTTATTTGCCAGTCTGTGCTGCTCTCGAAACGACATGACACGAGGTAGGATGTCCAATTTACTATAAAAATTATGCAAAAAATATGATTTAAGAACAAAAATTACGTTTATTGTAAGACTCCGTAACATTAAATGCGGGCCTAATTAAAAGAATCTTCATCCTGTTTCCTAGTTTTGGCCGCCTCCTCAGCCTGACGCAGTTCCCTCAGCTGGGCGAGTTGCTTTTTGGAATCAGCTATCTGCTCTTCCGTGACAGTGACTGGAACATCGCAAGATATCTGTTCTTGACGCACGAACTCCATCTTCTTGATGGCCTCCTCCAAAAACGGTATCTGCTGGGCCTGCAACTGCTTGTGGTAGGCCTCTAGCCGCTCTTCCTTTAGGTTTTCGCAGTAGGAATCGGTCAATTTCTGCAGTGATTCTTTCCTCGTAATCCAATGGAAATGTTCAGGTGGTGGCTTGTACACAAGATCGAGTTTTTCGAGGATCCACTCGAAGCGGGCATAGTCCCAGCGCCTCAGGTATTTAAGGAACTTCTTGCGTTTGTCTATGAGTTCCTTTAGCCGAACTTTAATCATCTTGTCGCGAGGATGGGACTCCATGCGCTCTTGGTATCGGCGGATCAAAGCAGTCATGTTGGCCACTAAAATATAATGGACATTATTTTTGAAGAAAGGGAGACCTTAAGGAATACCTACATTTAGCTTCAACGGAGCCATAGTCCTGGGCATGTCTCTGTACATCTTTAACCATTTCATTGCGGTAATGTTTGGTGGTCAAGTAATTCGCATTGTTGCTCAGCATGAACAGAGACTTGACCGTGTTGTCGGCTCTAAAAGAGAAGTAAAAATGAATAGGATCTTTGTTTGTGGCCAGACCACTTACTTTTCCAGCTCCTTGCAGTCCCTGAATTCCGGCAAGAGCTCGTCCCCCTTCAACGGGGGCAACTTGCTCAAATCGCCACTCTTCTCCGGCTTATAGCAGGCGATCTTTTCGGGTCGCACCCACTTTATTTTCAGGTCCGACTTGAACGCATACTCGCGAACGAATTGGCGCGGCACTGCCTGCGCTACATTCAGTAGTTTATTCATAAAATCTAATTTTTTCGGAGGCCAAAACAATAGGTTATATCACGGCCAGGGTGGACAGAAAATCAACACCAGCTGGCCAAAGTTTACCCAATATGGCAGCCCCACTGATTGCGATATTTCGATATATCGATATTTCTATCGGTAAAATACCATCACTATTTCTTAGTAAACAGCTGCACCAACAATTGTTGCTGATTTCTCATATTTTGCGTCTCCTATTTCGTTTTTTGCTTATCCTAAGTTGTGAAATCATTTACTGACATATTTCACAATGGCACACATGTCTCACATGCTGTCTCAACAGCCGTCAACGCCTTCTAGTGTCGGCTCCAGCTCATCAAGAACTATGTCCCTAATGGAGAAACAAAAGTACATTGAAGACTACGATTTTCCTTACTGTGACGAGAGCAATAAATATGAGAAGGTGGCCAAAATTGGCCAGGGCACCTTTGGGTAAGTTATGCTTCCTTCCTAACTTCCTTTGTTTTAACTATAAATCTCTGCCAGGGAGGTGTTCAAGGCCCGAGAGAAGAAAAGCAACAAGAAGTTCGTGGCAATGAAGAAGGTGCTGATGGACAATGAAAAGGAGGGTGTAAGTGTTCAGTAAATCAGGATTGTGTACAGTCTGTGTATATCGTATTATTTCTGCAGTTTCCAATCACGGCATTGCGTGAGATCCGCATCCTACAACTTCTGAAGCACGAGAATGTGGTTAACCTTATCGAGATCTGCCGCACCAAGGCTACGGCCACTAATGGCTACAGGTCCACCTTTTACCTGGTCTTTGATTTCTGCGAGCACGATTTGGCTGGTCTGTTGTCCAACATGAACGTGAAGTTCAGTCTGGGCGAGATCAAGAAGGTGATGCAGCAGCTGCTCAACGGCCTGTACTACATTCACAGCAACAAGGTAAGAAGAGGACATCTTCAGAATTCTTTCATATTCAATCCCCGTTTTACACAGATTCTCCATCGTGATATGAAGGCCGCCAATGTACTGATTACCAAACATGGTATTTTAAAACTGGCTGACTTTGGTTTGGCTCGTGCCTTCAGCATTCCCAAAAATGAGAGTAAAAATCGATACACCAATCGCGTGGTAACTCTGTGGTACCGTCCCCCAGAGCTGCTGTTGGGCGACCGCAATTACGGCCCACCCGTAGACATGTGGGGCGCTGGCTGCATCATGGCCGAGATGTGGACGCGCTCCCCTATCATGCAGGGAAACACGGAACAGCAGCAACTGACCTTCATTTCGCAGCTGTGCGGCTCGTTCACACCAGACGTTTGGCCCGGCGTCGAGGAACTGGAGCTGTACAAGAGTATTGAATTGCCAAAGAACCAGAAGCGACGCGTTAAAGAGCGTTTGCGGCCATATGTCAAGGATCCCACTGGCTGTGATCTGCTTGACAAGCTACTGACTCTTGATCCAAAGAAACGAATTGATGCTGACACTGCCCTAAATCATGACTTCTTCTGGACTGATCCCATGCCCAGCGACCTCAGCAAGATGTTGTCGCAGCACCTACAGAGTATGTTTGAGTATCTGGCGCAGCCACGTCGCAGCAACCAGATGCGCAACTATCATCAGCAACTGACTACCATGAACCAAAAACCACAGGATAACAGTATGATTGACCGTGTCTGGTAGGAAAAGCTCTCACCCATATTTTACCATAAGACTTTCATTTTCCTCTAGTGTAGGTCATAGGTTAGGACGATAAAAGTATGAAATACAAATATTTTATCATAAATGCATTTGCGTTTGCGATTCAAAATTATAAAAAAATATTGGTTTTTATATTTTAGTTATATTTTTGAAACTTGCTCTTGTATTTAGTACAGAGAACTGTAAACTATTTACCAAAAACAAAACACAAAGTCAAAATATATTACAAGGAAAAGTATTAATTTAAATTTTAAATAAAAGTATTTTAATTTGGAGGGTTTTTATTTCGTCACCTTCTTGAACTGCTATCCAGTGATTTCAAATCCGTGTTTTAATTTGGTCACACTGGGTTCAAGATGCACGTTGAGGAGCATAAAAATGTAAACAGTGCCAAAAAGGCCGATAAAAAGCAACGCAGATGCCTGGCAATCATCAAAAGTGACTGCCAAGTGTCCTCCAGTGAGGAGCCCACCATATACCTAGCTGTCCTCAACGTGGGCCTCAGCAATGGACTCACAGAGGAGTGCCTTCTGGATGCGACATCAAAGACAGGTGGAAAAGTCACGGAGGTAGTAATGCTGCCCGGAAAATCCTACTGTTTCTTGGTCTGTTCCACCCTGGATGATTCCCGGCTCATATACCTGGGTATGCACAATATCTCAACCATTGGACAGCAAGGAGCAGTCGCTTACCTGAGTTATGTGAAGGAATTACCGGCTCTGGCGGGGAAAAGTGACTGGAATAGCCCACTTCCCAACGGTCTGCAAGTAATGCCCGACTTTGTAAGCGAACAGGAGGAATCAGAGCTGCTTAAGTCGATTTCTGAGGATGGAAGAAGCACCGAAGGCGGTACCCTAAAGCATAGAAAAGTGAAGCACTTTGGTTATGAGTTCCTTTATGGCAGCAATAATGTGGATCCTTCGAAACCATTAGAACAGCCCATACCATCTGCCTGTGATATTTTATGGCCTCGACTTGAAAGCACTGCCTCTACCTGGGACTGGAGTACTCCGGACCAGCTGACGGTAAATGAATACGAACCGGGGCACGGCATACCTCCTCATGTTGATACCCATAGTGCCTTTTTGAATCCAATATTATCCCTATCTCTGCAATCCGAAGTGGTGATGGACTTCCGACGAGGAGAGGAGCATGTTCAGGTTAGACTGCCACGTCGTTCCTTGCTGGTAATGTCCGGTGAGGCCCGCTATGATTGGACTCATGGTATCAGACCAAAACACATCGATGTGGTGCCCAGCGCATCAGGGGGACTGACCACGCAGCCTCGAGGAAAGAGAACTTCTCTGACCTTCCGGCGCTTGCGGAGAAGCCCCTGTAACTGTGCTTATCCCACTCTTTGTGACACGCGACAAACGAAAGCACCACTGGAGCTATCTTCCACTCTGGCAGAGCAAGCTGTTAGTTTGGAGCAGCAAAATGTCCACGAAGTCTACGATAAAATAGCAGATCACTTCAGTGAAACAAGACACTCGCCCTGGCCACAAGTTGCCCAATTTCTGGAGAGCTTTGAGTCGCAATCTGTGGTACTAGATGTCGGCTGCGGGAATGGAAAATACCTCGGGTGTAATCCCCAGATTCTAACCATAGGTTGCGATCGGGCGCAAGGTCTGCTGTCCGTGGGTTGCAGTAAAGGACAAAACGTATTCCGTTGCGACTGTCTCAGTGTTCCAGTGCGCACTTCCAGCATCGACGGGTGCATAAGCATAGCCGTGATCCATCACTTGGCCACAGGAGAGCGTCGTTTGGCTGCTTTGCGAGAAATGGCAAGGGTTCTGCGTCCTGGCGGACGGGCTCTGGTCTATGTGTGGGCCAAGGATCAACGCCGAAATGACAAAAAGTCCGCTTACCTCAGACAGAACAAGGCTGTCAACAAGGAACGTACCACAGAGCAACTACAGCGTCAAAAGCAGCAACATGAACTGGAGCAGCTGCCCAATAACACTCCACTTCCGGTGCACACCAATCGCACTGAGTTCCAACAGCAGGATGTTCTGGTGCCATGGAAAACGAAGGACGAACAACGGACCACATTCCTGCGATACTATCACGTCTTTGAAGAACAAGAACTGGAGAATTTGGTGTCGCAGCTACCAGAGGTTCAGTTAATAAAGAGCTACTACGATCAGGGCAATCATTGTGTTATCTTCGAGAAGATCTCCCAAGGCACCGCATGAGAGTGTTACATTTATGTAATTCGTTTATTTGATTTCAAAAAATACACATTCACACAGTTTTACTTTTTTTTTTGTTAGCGAATTGAACGTAAACTAGAACTTAGCTAAGCTTACTGCTGACCCATCCAAATGGTGTTCTGTTTATTGTAGCTTTGGACCATAAATTGACAATTCCTTAATAACAACTTTTGTGTTCCACTGAACAGTAGTCCAGCGCAAGTAGGTACAAGTGCGGTCGGTGTGTGTGTATTTACATATCTCGAAAATTGATCATTGAAACAAGTTGGATAGGAAAGATTTCAATCAAGTTCTCTAAAGATAAGATGGATAGATCTAATTTGAAGTACCATAACTAAAATGTAAAGAGACTACCTAAATCAGTGATTGGGAGCAAACTGGTTCTGAAGATACATAGCTGGCGCATCCTAAATAGTTCTCGATTCTATATAATATTTTCTATATAATATATATGTTTTTTGGTTTTTTCTTCTATAATTAATAGGGTATATGGAGCTAAGAAAACATCTACACGGAGTACATGTAAGGACTGGTTTTCAAAAACACATCTAGAAGTCGTTCAGGGCACTTATTTGACAAAAATTCTACAGCTATTCAATGGGTTTTAATTATGTAGGTTGCTTATAGCTAGTTAAAGACTAATGTACAGTTTCAAACGTTTCGCTTTGGTCGTGGGTAGAGTAGAGTAGAGTAGAGTACAGTATAGTATCTGATATGTTAGCAAGTAACATTTGGACTATGTGATTTCATCATCTTAATATTACGAGCTAATTATATAGCGGGTGTCCTAAGGTACCTCTAAGGTACGTACATACGTGAGTTGACAGGTGTATAAATATATGTATATAGTTATTAGTATATGTATATATCTATATAGATCGCGTGTATAACAGTTGTGGTGCCCAAGTATTATGCTTTTTATTTTTTTTTGGCTATATGTATAGGAGAACAATTAAAGAGAATTGATTTATTCAACGGCTAGGTGAGTCTACGGACTAGGTTAAACCAGAAATTCATCATCATCGTTATATTAAAGCCTGATAGTTTACTTGTTTGTTGTTAAAGCTGATTTATCAGTTAATAGGTATGCCGTAAAGTTCTACAGGTTACCATTATTTTTTTCGTTTATAATGTACATACATAGGTGTATACTTCAGTCGTTGTTGAATATACAAAGCTTTCTTTGCCCGGTGATGACCATTGGTACAATATCCTTTTGTTCTTAGCCTATTCCTACACTTCTTTTCATTCCAAGTTTTGTATTTCGAAATCCATATTTTCCATAATATTTATCCTCACACCGAAACACTTATTTGAGCAGCTGGCATACTTTCTCCATCTCAACGGTTATTTTCTATATCATTTTAAAATGATTTGAATATTTGATAGGTTTTTGGTCTGGAATTATTAGAGGGACGTGTACTTGTTAGGGACTTGTTGGGTTCTTGAAGGACTCTCTAGGATTCAGGGTCCAGTTGCCTTGAGCGCGCGCTTAGATAAATGTTTCGGCTGCCATTTGTTACAAGCACTCCGCCAGCGGCGGCTTCTCAATCGGAGGTGACGGACCCGAAACTGAAACCATTGGCACGGCGCTGATCTTGGGCTTGATGATCTTGAGTCCCAGGTTGCCCAGGTTCTTGGGGCTGCTGTGCGGCGACGACGACGCCGTGGAGGATCGCTGATGGACCAGTACCCGTGGCTTGGCCTCGATGGCAATGCTGGGCGAGGAGGAGGCCGACACACTGGCCGTTGCCGTGGCGCTGGCTAAGAGTGGGACATGCACAAGTTCCTCCACCGTCTCCGCCGAGTCCTGCGATTCGTGCACCACTGCGGCAGCATCTGTGTGTATTAGAGCAGCCGTGGAAAGGTTGTCCCCATCATCATCCTGCATGTAGGGTGGCGGCGCCTCCAGCGAAATACTTCCCACTATCACGTTGGCCGTGGTAATGGCTGCCGACCGAGCCAAGAGACTGGTTACGGCCGAGGGCGATTGCTTTGCATCGTGGATGACAGGCAGGCGGAGCAGTTCGCCTCCAGTGCCGCCGCACTCCTTCAGCTCGATGTCGTTGCTGTCCTGGGAGGTGTGCTGCTGCTTGCAGGACTCGTCGTCGGTGCGCCAAGGTCGAAGGCTCTTCTGAAAATTTTTTAAATATTTGTGTTAAGATATTTTCTTTTTAATGGATTAATTTAAGTTATGAGACCTCATTTTCTATGACTTCTATACTAAATCCTTTAAAAATTACAAACTCACCCACGAATCAAATAAATCCCAATCGAAATACTTTTCCTCAAAAAAGTAATCCTGTTTTAAAAGTTTGGCAAAGTTTATAAATGACTGACAAGGAAACCTACTAGTTACTTCTTATTTAAGGACTTTTACTCGAACTACAAATGTGGATATTTAGCTGCTAGTGATTCAAAGGACATCTCTATATCTAGCAATTAGCTTTACCTTTTTAAGGATGGAAGGACCTTACTTCTAAAGCTAAAAAATACCACTCACCCTTCTTCCATTATCTGTAATATTCTCCGCACTTTTGGCCTTTCGACAAAGGACACTCTGTGAGCCGTGGCGTCGCAGGAACTCAATGGAGTCGAAACCTCGTCCCTCCGATGACACAAAGATGGCCGAATTGATCCTGCTGCGCGTGCAACGCTCCGATATGGACGTCGAGTGCTCCTCCGCCAGCATGTGGATGTGCTGCAATGAAAAACGGATTAGAAGTGATCTCGAGATGCGGTTTGCCACATCCTCTGGTCTGGTTCTTACGCGGCTATTGCAGTGCAACGGTGGGTGGGCACATTCACTGCTGTCGAACTGCGTCCCGAAAGGAGCACAGGAATAGAGAGAGAAGGGGAGATAGATAGATAGAAAGAGATAGAGAGAAAACGGTAGAAAGGACGCTTTCACTGCGACTCAACGCACAACATAACACATAAGCGGGGACCTGGACAAGGACCTCTCGGCACACCGGCTGACCCTCCGGGCGAGAGGCCACTGGAACAACAAGAACGAGAGCAAGCGCAAAGCACGGGACAAGCTACACCTGGCTACAAAAGCTACAAGAACTCGACACGAAGCCGGGGACACAAGCGGATGCATTTTACGGATGCGAGTGGCGAATTGCGAATTGATTTTTTTTTTTGGTTTGTGATTTTATGCTGTGAGAGAAGTGAGCAAGTGCTAGCCATTTTCCATCCAGTGAACATTGCTGCAAATTTTCTGTACATGGTAAGTGAGTGGTGGTGCGTGTTGGTGCTCCGGTCTGCAATCTGGAGTGTGACTCGAACTTGAGAACAGGAACTCGAAATCGAAATCCAAGACAAACCACGTGCACCACAAGCTGCTTGTGCTGGAACTAGTGTTGGGATATATCTAGGCTTAATCAAGTGAATTAAATCTAAGGAACTCTTTTTTTTTGTTTAGCAAGTGAACATTGGTTTCTTTTAAATCAGTAATATATTAAATACTCTTATTAATTAATGATCTGATAAAGAGGACAACATATAATTAACTGTGAGAACAATAAGTGAAGAAAACAATTAGAGTTATAACCACATTAGATGTCCTTAAAGATTGTGATAAATATTTGATAAGAAAAATATTGCGTATACGCCAAGTGTGACACACATAGAGCGTACTTCAGCTTTTTCTTTTGGCTCTGATAGTGCTTTACATTGTGACTTTTATTAGTTTGGGAAACATCAAAGTTCACTGCTAAATGGAGGCACTTCCTTTAATTTAATCACCCTGGAAGCCACCCAACACTAGCTGGCTAACTTACGCTGGCCGGCTCGCTGTAGTTGCTGTGGTTGAGCACCGACGACTCGGTGTGGATGGTGTCACTGGCCACCATGCTGTGGTACTTCTGCATCTGCAGCGACGAGGAGCCGCGGCTCTCGCGCGATCCATCCCGCGATCTATCCGCGCAGGAGTACTGTCTTCGGTACTGGCGCCTGCGTCTTCCGGCAGTGGCCGACGTGCTGTGGCCGTCAACGGCCCCCAGTTGGTGATCAGCGCATGCCAGCGGTCTAGGGAGTATCGGAGGCGGGCGAAAGTAACTGGGGTCGTAGCTAAACTGCCGTCTCCGCCACTGGTCGTATTGCCGGTAGTGGCTGAAAAGGCGGCGGCGGCGCAGGATCAGCTGCTTCTTGGCCTCCAGCACCTCGTCCTCCTCGACAAAGGTGCGCTCTTGGGAGTTCTTGAGGATGCCACGCTGCTGGGCAAACTTTCGCTGTTTGACGGCTCCCGCTTGCAGGGGCAGGAGGCGCTGAACGGGCTCACGATCACGATCACGCTCCCGATCCCGATCTCGTTCTCTTTGGAGGAGCTGCTGATCCTCCTGATTTCTTTCCTGAGCCTCATCGCCCTCTACTTCGATGTCCTCGTTAGCCACCTCTAGGCTATCGACATTCTCCAGCACATTGGCGCCCACAATCGACTGGTTGTCCACGCTGGGACCCCTTACATAGGTGTTCACCGGAGTGCCGTGGCTGTGGCCATGGCCATGGCTCGACGTAGCACTCACGGCCGCCGAGGATGGCTCGCGGTGCGCTGGTTGCTAGCTCTCCACGTCCGCCTTGTGCAGCAGGGCAAACTGACAGCCACAGTCGCGTTCCAGCTCCCTCCGCGGATACTGGAAGCAGCGGTCAAATATGCCGCATCCCTCGCACCGAGGCAAGCACTGTTCCGGATTCCAAAACAAAAACCAAAGAATGGGTAAGCAGCCACCGGAACCGGAACAGGATCGGGAACAGGTGGCAGTGGTAGGTAGATAGGCAGGAACAAGATCAGCAGGCGGAGAGCGAAGTGAAAGTAGGGAACGTTTGGTCAGTGAGATCTCGAAAAAGCGCCAACCTGAACAGCAAAGCTCAAAACCAAAAACCAAAACCGCTAAATGCAATTAAAGATAAGGGGAACTTTTCTAGGACATCCATGGAATACTTTATACATAGATTATGTAGAAAAATTCCCCTAGAAGTCTATGATAGGTGGATAGTACGAATTATAAAATAGGAGTGTTCTCATCCAGAGCTGAACGAATCTAGGTGGAATTTCTAGTAGACTTCGGCGAACCGAAGAGACCCTAACCCTTTTAATTTGGATACAGGATCGATCTAGGGAGTGTACCCCAGACTAGTGCTAGTTAGTTGCCTAAAAAAGAAAGCTAAATTTAATGCAATGCTAGCACGTGCTATCTTATCAAGCAAATCATAAGAAAGTAAAGTCTATTGAGTCTGATTTCTACAGGGATTGAATGCATTATTGTTTTGAAGAAATTTTTACTGGGTCTCCCATTTAATCACATCGTCACGGACCACAAATTATTCAAAAGATTCGAATTTTGTTTCTGGGAATAAAATGAAAATAAGTAAGTGGTTTTAAGCATTTGGTATAGAGTTTCACAACAGAGTAGTTTTTCCGGAAATTAATCAGAAATATATATGATTATTATGTTGATACTCTTGTTGCGGGATCTGGCGGGTTCAGTGCACGGATTAAAAACAGGAAATGGTGCACTTTGTTCAATAAGTTTCAAATATTTACTTGAATTGATGCATAGGAAAAAAAGCGAATAAAATGCAAAGATATTTTTGGATATTTTCGTATAAATACTGTATGTAGTTTGAAGAATTTGTTACTTGGAATACCTTGACAAAGAAATCGGGGTGTAGGTTCTAAAAATGAAGCATAACAAAAAAACGAAACGAGAGATAAGTTCCTTCGCGATTATCCAAAAACGTGATGTACCCCGGGTTATCATCATCCTAGAAACCCGCATATATTCCCACAGTATTCCCATCCGATTCCTCCCAGTGTAACGTACCTGGTGTGAATGTTGACCGTTGCATCCACCGGCACTGCAGACTCCGGTGCCCGGTACCTTGAGCTGTTCGTGTTTGTAGTCCGGCTGATATGGCAGCAGCATCCGGATCTTTCCCCATCGATTGAAGAACAGGGCGATGGCTCCGGCCCACACCATCAGAACAATCAGAACAATGCCAATTTCCACGCCGCGAATCTGTCAATCGAGAAGCATATAATTTTCATCTTTAATTTTTAAATCAAAGTCAAGGCATGTTCTTCCCCTGAAAGCTAAAATACCTTTAAGTTAACGTTTTAATTAGCGTATAATTGTTTTTAAATTGTAACAATTACCCTCACGTGCGGAGAAAACTATAATAAGATTATGCGCATCCCCGAAAGCTCTATTAAAAATCGTTTAATAAATACTATCCGGGCATTTGGAAATTGTCTAACCTGTTCGACCAGATGTCAACCAGGTTTGAAGTTCACACGGAACATGGTTCCGAACTTAATTGGCCCAATACAGAAGGGGGAGTACGGAAAAATAGAATTTTGATAAGGTAATTAGTGTAATTCGATAAAGTCTAGCTCTAGAATCTCGATGATGGGAAAATAAAAAGCCGGGGGCTTTCTTCTACGATTCTAAAGTAAAGCCAGGAATATGCGTCTAATTATTCTTGGATTTATTGTGGTCCTGGGTCTGGTCTACGTTTGTGGCTCGAAAGGTACCAGCTTTCTGGATGATCTGGGGCCCACACGTGCCATCGAGGAAATTCGTAAGGTGCGTCACGCTCAAGGAGGCGGTGGCGGAGGTGGCATTGGAGGCGGTACCGGAGGCGGTGGCGGAGGCAGCCACGGAGGAGGTGGCGGAGGCGGCAGTGGAGGGGGCTTTGGTGGGGGGTCTGGTGGCGGCTAATAGGCTTACAGTGACCACATGACCACCTCTGAATATACATATGTACATGTTTATCCGCATGAATAAAGAACATTTAAAAAAAATACTTTGAAAAACGTTGAATATTTCTAATATTGATTTAAGTCGAGGGGTTTTCCACCTAGTTAGTTAATATATTACCTCTCTAATTAGTTACTAAGTCAGCTATAGAATTTTCATATAAAAGCCCCTGAATCAGATCCGATCTCAACAGTTGCAGTAAAGGTTTCTAAGCAAACAGCAATCAAGATGCGTCTAACATTCCTGGCTTTCCTTGGGCTCCTATTCCTGGCCTATGTCTACGCTGCCGAGGATGGAGGACTACGTGCCGAACAGGTTACTAGCTCGGACGAAACCTTAGAGGCTCGTGTCCAGGAAGTGACTCCAGCCAATCATGGAGCCCGGGTGGTTCGCCGCGCCCAAGGAGGTGGCGGAGGCGGTGGTGGCGGCGGTAGTCACAGAAGTAACTAACAGGGCATGCCTTCCAATATATATCGAATTCCATAAAGAATAAAGAACAATCAAGCAATAAAATTTTGTTTTTAACTAAAAGGGGCTGGGGGGGAACAGAATTGAGGTGGCAGAACTATTCTATTCTATACTATAATCTATTCAGTTATATGTAGTTATTATTGAATGTTTCTTGAATAATCGCCAAAGGATGCTGTAGTTAGTACTATTAGTATACTAGAACTTTAAAATTTAAGTTTCTTTTCTTATGATGAGTAAGGAATGTACTCTGATGGTAAAAAAAAAAACGGATATTTTTTAAAGATTTTGTGGTTCCTTAATATATTTGGTTTACTTTAAGTCCTAAAAGTATGAGCTAAAATCATCAAGTATTGCATGCCCATCTCCCATTTTATATAGAAGATAAAGGATATGAATTTTTCTCCTCAATATAAAATTAAATTTACATTTTATTTACAATTTAATTATATGAAAATATACCCCACAATTAAATGGAATTATTGATTAACAATTAAACTCCTAATATGAGACTTTTGACATTTGATACTATAATAAGCAGCTTTAAAAAAAACTATTTAATTTATTATAATTTTATCCAAAGGTAGGGACTTTTTTGCTGTCGGAAATGAGAACAGTCTGTTAGTTAATTATTCAATTTATCAATTAAATTAATTTTCATTGCAAGCTGATTTTTAAATAAAAGGCCCCAACAAATCTTCAAAAGTTTAGTTGCAATTGAGACTTCTAGAAAGCAAGATGCGTCTATCACTGCTGGCATTCCTTGGTGTCCTGTTCCTGGCCTATGCCTGTGCTGCAGAGGACGGTGACCTCCACTCGGGACAGTCGACCACACCGGCTGGACATTTGGATGCAGTTCCTGACGAAGTTTCTACTGAAACCGAAAACCAAGGAGCTCGCGTCGTTCGTCGCGCCCAAGGAGGAGGCTTTGGAGGTGGCGGTGGACATGGACAGGGACATTAAAATGGAAAATTGGCTTGAGCCTTTTGTTACATTGTCTTGACAAAAATAAATATTACTACAGCATTATAATTGAGTGGTTTTTTTGAAAAAAGGGTGAAGGGATTTTTTTATTAGCCCCATTTAAAAAGTACCTAAAATCAGATCAATCTGTGAATATTTTCAGATAAAAGCATTTTTATATTATTCAGAAAATTGAATAAGAAAAAGTATATTTTTAGTCATATGGCGTAGATAACCTTTCAATAATTACTATTATGATTCTTTGATTATAATCATTCAGATGGCATATTTCGATGCCTTTAGATTCTGAAGTTTTTATTCTGAATACAAAAATAGTTTTTCTTAGAATGTTTGATTTGACGCCTTAATTATATTCTAATGTCATTTCAAATGTAATATCAGGGAAGTACCTCAGAAAAAGCTCAGGAAATTTAGATAATTATAATAATTTACATAAATTGCTTAATTAGTTTAATTATCTAGCATGTTTTAAGTAATATTACTGTATATTGGTATAAAAGGCACTGTTCTAAGTCACAAGTTATCAGTTGCAAGCGAGACTGTTCTCTAACAAGAAGTCTAAACCAAAATGCGCCTAGGACTATTAGCCCTCATTGGAATCCTTTGCCTGGTCTATGTCTATGCCTTGGAAGAAGAAGGTAACCCAGTTGGAGAACAAGTGATCGCGCTCCATGACGACAATCAAGGAGTCACCAGTCCTTATGAAAGAACCCGTATAGTTCGACGTGCCCAGCATGGCAGCATTGGAGGAGGTGGTGGTGGCGGTGGAGAGATACACTGGGGTGCCCATTAAAAAAGATCAAATGGATATGGCCCAGACCGCTAAATGTCAGATACACAATACCACAATACACAAACTATTACTTATTTTAATAAATCCCAAATATGAGTAATTAAATTGGAAAGGTTAAACTTACAGTTGGCAGTTCTCTGGTGGTGCCGTGGGTTAGCGTGTTGGTGGCTGTGGAAGTGACATCATCACCAAAGATGCTGGCATTTCCGGTTCCGTTGCGGCTGCCACTGTTGACATTTCCATAGACACCAGGCGGAAAGTCCTGTTGGGAGGTGTTCTTCGGCAGATCTTCTCATGGCAGATGGTGAAATGTCAAACATAGAAACATATAATTTAAAACAAACATGATTTTCAGACGCACCCAATGTCCTGAATTTAATCTGGCCGCTGCGATACTTCTTGCCCTGCCAAATGGCCGTCACGACGAGGGAATACTGGGTGCTGGGCAGGAGGCGATCCAGGACAATGGCCTCACTGCTGCCGGCAACGTCCTGTACAACCCTGTAACTTAAATTAATTCAATTACCACTCTCGAACGTCAGCTAAGGGATAGGTGGGTTGGAATGTGCCCAGGATTGTGCAGGATATGTGGTCGTATGTAGTTCTTCATAGGTGTGAGCCAACATGTGTGTAAGTTACAAAGTGTGTGTGTGTGTGTGTATGTGTGCGCTAATTGAACAAACGATGGTACAACATTCCGTCCGTGAAATATGAGCCCGGTCCGTGTTGGTAATTACAGCATTGGCCAATATTTCACTTTGTCACTTTTGCCAGAGCAGTTACCAAACATGTCCTAGATTTGCCAATTGAGCCGGTTCACATTACCCACTCTGCTCCACCCATGGACTCTGCTCCTCTTGCCTCTTGGTTTTTATCCAGCTCCTTGTAGTGAGTGCGTGGCAGCGAAAGTGGCCCAGACTTCTGGCCTGTGTGCAGTGTTCCACTGTTCCAACAATGGCAACAACATGCTGACAAATGATTCATTATTCATACATGTAAGACACAAACCCCCATACAACCTACACCCTTACATTGTGCCCTATACCCCCTCGGATATGAAGCAATGGCTCCCCATGGAACTAAAGTCCAAACAGAAATGTCCCGCATTTTGCTTGTACTCGTACATTTTTTTTCCGATGGCAGACAAAGAAAAAACAACACCAAGCCAACAAACTATGTTGAAAAATAAGGAGTAAAGCTAACCGAATTTAATAATGCTCTTAATTAACAAATTTTTCACCCTTTTTTAACAAAACTGACCACTTCTGGTCAGAAATATTACTTTATTTTGTATGTAACATTTTTCCAAATAATTTCAGTAATTTTCTGGTTTTAACTTTTGATTAAAAACCAAAAAAACATGGCTTTAAAATGTAGTTACGAAAAAGTTTGTTGTCTAATGTGGTTTGTGGCCAACTTTTGGATACTGTGGCTGAAAACCAACTATATTTTTCAAAAACTTTCTCCCCAACTAGCGAGAGCAGACATATTTATAACATTGTGGCTATTTCACATAAAAATTTCAACTCTGACCCATATTAAATTTGAAGCTTATTAAAATTTAAATAGAGGCATTAAATTATAGGCTTTCATGACTAAAAGATTGCACACAATTCCGGTAGCTATCTAACTAATTAATCAGAAATTCTTGTCTGTGAGATAAAAGCCTCGGCCTTAATATCAGATAATAAATATTTGACAAGGTCAGCTTGGCAAGCAATTTATTTTAATTAGCCAATTCTTTCTAATTAAAGGGAAAATGAGGAAAAACTGAAATAGAGGAAAGCCACTTTACGATTTTTTTTAAAGCATCCTGCTTTTGAGTAAACTAGCTCCTCAACCCGCCAAAATATTTAAGCGCGTAAGCTGGCACTTACGTTTCATTGTGAATTTATATCGGTGTTGTCCGCAAAATCGACAAAAAAAAAAAAATGAAGGACAGAAAGGATGGAAAGGCAACTCTCACTGTTGGTGAAAATTTCACGCCGGCGGGTAAATAATTAATTAAGCATGCCGTTTGCACATGTGTTACAGCCAGACACACGCAGCCAATAGACCCAGCAGACCGCAGGGCAACTGGAATTGGGCCGACTTGTGCAAACATTCAGGCAGTCAGCCAGCCAGCCAGCCAGCTAGGCAGCCACAAGCTATCCGATCCGACCGCCATATGTGACAGCACAAGGCGTTGTCTAAAGTTTCGTAGCCAAAGTTTTCATCATATGGCGGCGCTTTGGGCCAAATCAAATTTAATCCTCTCCCTCTTGGCCTGGTTATTTGGCATTAAGTTGGCTGGGGAAGGCGCTTATTATACACCATTTAAACTCACGCCATGCAGGGCGGCCTCATAGACCAGCTCCTTCTGGGTGGATCCTGTACCCTTTGCTCTTAGCCAGGTTGGCCAGAAAACAACCAGAACAGGGGGGTCATCAGAAATGCAAGCGAATTTCCGCGCCAGTTCAAGGAAGTCTCTAATTTTCTCGCCGTCATGATTTTGGCTTTTCCTTTACGATTATTTTACCTTTTCCCTTTATGGCCAACTGGGTGGACTGGGACGCTATCGTTGGCAATTTGAAATTCAGAAATATGGTCGGATATGTGCAATTCGGCTTGTATTTCTCGTTTTCCTTTTTTAATGTCTCCTTTTGTGTATGTAATCCAGTATGTTCCGGTTTGATAAATAAACAATTAGCTTACAAGCCAGCAAAACTTTCGCATTCGTTACTCAAACTCCGGACTCACAGGCCCACATACGTTCATATATGTCATGGAAAAAAATATACAAAATGTGTGTACGACAGCACGACAGTGAGGCGGTTTTATTTTTTGTTATTTAATAACTTATGACATTCATGGCTTTCCATGTGCCTCGAAAACTTTACTTTGGGCCTAGAAAAACACGTTGCTTGCACAGCCCACCCGGCTCGAAATCGCTCGAAAATCGCTATGCATTTGAATTAAATTAAAAATTCTATTAAAAGTACGCATACGCCCCATAGGACAGTTCTATCAATGTTCAATGAAGGACACCCAGGATAGATAAGTTCCATGGAAAAAGCCAAATGGATATCCAAGGCCTGGCTTAATTCAGCATATAGAATATCCTAGCCCAGCCTGGTCTAGGGCTCCCGTTCCGCACATTTCCTGTTTCCAGGTCCTGCACTTTTATGGCTTTTGCTGGAAAATTTATTTATGTTGTCATACCGGCAGTGTCATACACACCGATAGGAGGAGGATAAGAAGGCACTCACAAATCTCATCCGCTTTGCCATTACACAGCAAATAGCTAGTAGTGGCATGAAACCTTGACATTTCAATTTTAATAATGTCAGAATGTGTATGAAAAAAGCCCGAATAACCATAATGAATTAAATGTAGCATATGGCTATGTATTGATTGGGGTTTTCCAAACTACTACACGCCTTCTTGGGGGCAACCCTGCACATGTCCTTAGCCGTCCTTAGAGGCGGAGTGCCTCGTGCCTCCTCCTCCTCCTCCACTGGGACAGTAATTGTTATTAATTATTATTGTTATTGATGGTGCTTGACATGCTTGGACGTACGAGTATTGAACTCCACCAGGCAACCCCCAGAACCCCGTCATTCGACATGTATTGTTCGTCAAGAATTTCATAAATCCACTTAGCAATTTGGAGCATGTCACACTCGAGGAAAAAATGGGGAAGAGCTAATGGAAAATTATGGTTGTTTTCATGGGTAATAACTCTAAAGTACTTGTATTTTATTTGATAAATTATGTCTCATTTCTCGCTGTGCATCATAGACCTAAGGATATGTTCATATGTGTCTATTTTGTTGTCTAGGACAAAAGTCTAATCCACTTGAAGTGCAGGACAGGCCAGGGCAGGCCGCAGGAGGAGGAGCTCGAGCCGAAAGTAAAGGTAGAAAGCTAGTGCCAAAGCCAAAGCTCGAGCCGACTCACCGACAATGTGTCTATGTACTAATCATACATTATTCAAAGGCACAATTTACTCGAAAAACGGCAGGAAGATAGAGGCTCCACGACAACCTACCAACTACTACTAGCTACTATCCCCCTGCCCTGGAAAAAAACGCCCACCATAATGACTGGCAGTCGGAAGTAGGTAATACGACAAAAATCGATAGAAAAGTAACACAAAAATTAAAAACAAACTGACTTATAAATAATGACCGAACGACTGAAGAACAAAACCAGCTATCAACCGAAAAATGGTATATAGTATAAGAGAAACAAAAATACAAGTTTTGTAATAAAATTTTTGACATAGGCGTGAACTTTATAGAAGAACGGGCCAAGAGCAAAAACAACACAATGCTGGGTTAGCATTGGAATGGCGGGCAGTAAAAGACAAAACACGCTCATGCAGCTAACACAACAGCCAATGGCTAACACACACACACACACTTACACGCAACGCGAGCCATTAAATTGAAAAACACCTTGGCCAGTAGTCGAGAGCGGACTGCAGTCAAAAGGCACAAAAGCCGAGCACTTAACTTATTACACGGCATTCCATGGCAGCGCAAACGGGCTAAAGACCCAGACCAACACTCTGCTGGCTAGTGCCACTTGCTGGTCTTGGCCAAGTTGGAGCGGAAGTGCTTAGTTTGTTGGCGAAATATGCAAGCCATTTCCTCGCCACCCGTCCGCCGTGCCGCTGAGAAATGGCCATCAACAGTGGCTGCCACTGTGGAGGTGGTAATGCAGAGAGTCAGGGCACAACCCAGGCCAAGACAGCTGCAGCTGAGCTGCATTATTTCGGTAAATCATCGGGAATTTGGCCCTAGAGTACTAACTGAAATGCAGCTGGCAGGGCAACAAAGTCGCTGACATATGCACACTTGGCTCGCAATTCGCACTTGGCATACGAATGCCAGGGCGAAATTCTAATATAAAGACCAACTTACTTACCAAGGACCTTACTCTGAAAGGACCTGCTCTCACAAGTCACAAAATAATTGAAAATTTGAATAAACTTTTGTGTCCTAACTCGCATTTTTACGCTCTGTTCGCTTGGTTTCCAGAAAAAAAACTTAACTTCAAGTACACGCGGCTTTTGTTTTTCTTTCTGGCCGGCACTCGCGGTCAATTTGGCCTCAAGTTTCCACTATTTTCATGTTGTTGCCGCTTTCCCAACCACTCCGCTAGTTGGTTTACTTTTACTTTGGGCGGTTATTTAGCTCAGGGCCAAGCCGCTCACTTTATATAGTATATGTATAGTGGAATCCTGCGGCTCACAACTTGATACAGACGCACTCACACAAGTCCACGCACAGACAGTGCTCTTGACTGACCGCTGGTGGAGGTGGGAGCCACCATAACCCAGTACTTTCTCCACCCCCGCCTTTGGCTTTTAAGCGCAAAACCCATTCCCTGGGCCGTCAATTGCAGGCCAGGTTGGGGTTTTTTCCCGCATTTTGCATAAATTGCAATTGCAGTTATCTTGTACGGAAAATAATTTTAATTATTATAATATTATAATAAAATATTTGACAGGTTTAACAATAAAGGATCCTAGTGAGTGGCATATACGATAACGGGCTAGACCCTTATCAAAAAAACACCTTTTATTATGTGATATGATTTATTTCTCCCAGTGTCCTGAATAGCCCCTCCGATTCGACTCCAAAACCACCCACTTAAAACTCGTCCGTTTTGCATACTAAGCATGTGTGCTTTGGCCGTCATTTAGCCAAGTCAGGTGGTCGAGTGGTCAAGTGGCCGAGTGGCCGAGTGTCCGAGTGGATTGAGTTTTAGCTTTGTTAGTGTTGTTAGGTACCTACCTGTCATCCGTCGGCTTGTACGTCACAATGTACTTCTCGATGGGATGTTCCCGGAGATCGATTTGCGTCTGCCACGACACCCGGACCGCCGTGGGCGTTAGAAATGTAACGGTTATGTTCTCCGGCGTAGCCGGAATGGTGCCTATTATAACAATAATTGCTTGTTATTATGCTATTATCGCCGTAAATGCTTAATATATAGTAATTCTCAGGCACTAGCCAAGTTTATGTGTCTGGCTGGGGGATTAACTGGCTTTGGTTTGAGTATCGCCTTAAGGACACTAAGTCCTTCTCTTATCCTATCAAGTTTGCTCAGCCCAGAAGCAGATTAAATTGTCAAAAGAGTTATAGTTTTCTTATTTTTCATAAAAGTATTTATTTATTAATGTATTAATCATTGTTTCTGTTTAAGAGCCTTTCGTGTGACCTGAATTTAAGAGACACCTTTAGGCCATAAATATTTCTACCTATTTTTAGAGCAAATACTTTCCAAGCCATTCAGATAATAAAATGGCTAAAAATAAATGGTAATATAAATCAGTCTTGAGCAATAAATAACATGGCCTTAACATTTAAGGGTTAAGCAATAAAGACTAAAAAATTAGGGAATACAAGTGTTTACCAACTGGCACTTTCTTAAATTGATTTATTTTTCTGGGATTACTGCCCCAAATTATTATAACTTGTTTAGATAAGCTTTAAGCCCCCAAAATGGCCCTAAATATGCTATTATATTCAGGGTACTTGGACCCTAGACCCTTGGATTCTGGGTCCCTACTTACCCGCTAGGCAAGCGTTAACAAACAGCACGGCTATGAACACAAACATGCTTCCGTATGATTCTGTTTGCCTTTGTTGGTGATGTCGTTTCGTTGGTGGCTGTTGGTGCTGTTGCTTTGCTTTTCCTTTAGCTGCTTTGTTGCTTTGTTGGTGCGGATCTTTCTCTTAGTTCCTCCGTGGGCGGTTTCCTCGTTGCTAGGGTTTCCGCTTGGCTTATTCGTTGTTGCAGTTGCAGTTGCGTTTTTTTGTTCCAAAAATAATCTAACTAAACATAAAAATCAGTCTTGCTTTTATTCACTCCGTACTTCGCACTCTATGCTCCTCTTTTTGGTTTGTCCTTTATTTTTTTTTATTTTTTTGTGTGAATCTTTTAATAAATTCTGAATTGTGCAGCTGCAGCAGTATTTTCAGCTCATATTAGCCTGCCATTCCCGACTACTAATTGACTTTGTCAATGACTTTTGCATTAAAATATTTCTACAGCCCCGTCCCGGGCTTTTTGTGACTATCCTGATGTTAATGTCCTTGCGAGTGAGAGTCGAATTTATGCGTGTATATTTTTATAACACATTTTTATGGAGCTCCGTCGTGTGCGTCCCGTCGTCTCGTTGTCCTGTGTGGCTCCTGTGTCTCCTTTTTGAATCGTCATCGAATCGAATCGCATTTGATGAACGTCCTGATAGTCGGGTGTACTCTCTATATATGTGGGGCGGGGAATGTGGGCATAGAGGAAAAGTTGCTAAGAATTGGATGGGAGGGAGAGTGAGTGGCTGAGGAATATTCCAACAGTTTTTCCCTGTTTCGTGCTCGTTTCTGTTCAACTAGGGAATTATTCACATTGCGTTCGCTTTTTGTTATTTTCTGTTTTTGTTTCTGTGGCCTGTGTGTTATTATTCTTTGCTGCTCATTGCTTTTTATTTTTTGGTGTTGCTCGGCTTGGCTTTATAAAAATCAATAAAAAGCGACTTTTTGTCTGACAGCCGTTGATTTGGATGGCAACCTAAGTGGGTTTTGTGTTGTTCTTGTTTCCGTTGTGCCTTTCTATTGAGGTTTCAATTTTGGGTTTGAGCTTCGTCGGCCCGGCTCTGGGTTACTCTGGTTTTTGGGTCTGATAGGTAGTCCTCCGTGTCTCGGTCCGGATATGGGTGTGGGTTCGAGGATTGGGTTCTGTTGCTTTTCGGGGAAGTCGTCAGGGGAATTTTTGGTTGTGGTTCGGCCACCCACAAAGTTGATTCAATAAGGAGGCCCGAAGCGACTGCCACCGGCCACCTGTCGTCGCCTCTCCCGCTTGCTTGCAGGCCAAGTTCACAGCTTGATTCCTTTGTGATTTTTGTGGTTTCCTGTCGCTTTTACTTAGTTGGATACATTTCGTATTTTGTTAACAATTTTGGCATAATTGCCAAAGCATTTAGGCAGCATTTTAGACCTCCATTTGCTCTTTCCGCTCAATGTTTTTGTTTTGATTTCGATATTTGGCTTTTTTTCTCTCTTTGCGGCTTGCGGCATGCGGTTAATTATGGGCCGACTGTTATTGTTGGGCCGTGAGGAGGAGGCTGCAATAAATCAGAATGGCATTAATGGCCTAGGGCAAAATATGCGCATATATTTTCGATACAAAACTAAAGGGATACAGGTACATATTATACACTACATACATTTACATTAATTATAATGAGTTGTGTTCTCGGCTCAATCACAATTAATGCGTACAACAGTTAATTCGTTATTCATTAACGTGATCAAAGGGAAATAAAACAAAACAGAACTCAATTACATTATGCGCTGCATACTTTTTGGGGCCTGGCTTTTCGTTTTAATTGGCATTGCGCATACGCCATGTGGTACACACACAGACACTCAGTCATTCGGAAACTAACCGCATTCACCCACAGCCAATGCATATCAAATGTGTTGTACAAATTCCCAAATTCATTTCATGTTTCATCTGCATCAGACAATTCAATTTGTGGAATGCCTCGATCATGCGTGCGATAGTGCGCCGCCCTCTGGGTTTCATGATTAGCATGCTCGGCATGAAACAGTGCGGTTAACATGTGTGGTTTGCATCCGTCCCCTGCTTCAATGGTTTTCAACCTGTTGGCACTTTAAATGGTCAGACAATAACCGGTCGCTCCTCCGTTTACTGTGATTTTTCGCTTTTTTTCGAAAAGTAAACCAATAAAGTGAAACAAGTACCGGCAACATTTTCTTTTATTGGAAGTGTAAACCAACATGGCACCCGAATGACTTCCTTTTTCTAACCAATTGGGAAAATGGCCATTAAACTCTAGAGTGTGTGTGTAAAAAAAAAGGGACCAATACTTTATGGCTAACTTTAAGAGTAAAAGCCCTGATGGGAACAGAATTTTTATGCTGGCTACAAATCTGTAGCATAGCTTAAATTTATGTTGATTATGTTGTTAGCTATAAGGGTTCTTTCAAAGTATCCGAGAAGCTCTTACAACTTATCGTTCATCAAAAGTTGATGTTTTATTTCAACTGGCTGATGATATTTAAGGATAAAAATGGCTTACCAGTTAAATATTGTCCTCTGGCACTTTACAAAATAACTTTCCTGCTCAGAGGATAATTGAGATTACGCCCTCGGCCTTGAAATTTTTATCAACATCTCAAAAGTACGAAAGTGACCACCACGGCTCTTGTCCGCCGCAGCTGGTCAGCGCTCGATACTCATTAAATTTATGCATTTTTGTGTCTCATTTTTCCTTCGGTCTGCTTTTTGAGGGACCCTTAAAAGTTTTATGAACTTTTGGCATACACTTTGGCATGCTCGGGACTTTCGAGAAAAGATAGCAGAAGCCATGAGAGAATGTGTAATGAGTGAGCACACGCTTTGCAATTTAAATGATAATTTTTTGACGCAATAAGAACCAAATAAGGAATTAAGTCGTACAATTCCAGAGGAGACCAAGGGCAGAATAATAAACCAGTGACTCATATCATAAAAGGGACAAATTTTTAAATTTATTACTTCTTTTTTTTATAAATAATTAAAATGGTAAGAAAGCAAAGAATTTTTCAATTTAAATGGTAATTCCTCTATAGCTATGGGTATATTTTAAAATTTTATTACGCATAATGGGTAAAGGCATAAAAAAAATGGTGACGCATGGTGGAAAATTGTGGGTGGTATTGGGTGTGGGTGTGGGTGTGGGGGAGAGGGAGTGAGTGCATGCATTGCCGCGATGGCAAATAAGTAGGTGAAAGCAGTTATCGTAAAATGAAAATGGCGGCTAGTACGCGCTGTCGCTTTCGCTTTCGCCAACGCTCTTAATTATAGCGGCGTCACATGCACACAAACAAACATAAACACACACACACACACACACACATACAAACATAAACCCTCTCTTGAACACACTCATACAATTTACCGTTTAGAAAGCGGGTTCAGTTGATAATTTTTTATTGCACACGCTGCGGCGCTGCGAGAGAATTACGGAGCGCCCCTTTGGCATTTTGTGTGTCTGTTTGGCTTAGACTGGCAGACAATAAATCAATCAGCTGGGCTAACATCAAATTCCTGCGCAGACAGTGCTCCTTTCCGATACAACATAGTGGCGTGTTTGTATTGGTGCGCTATTAACAAAAAGGTCAACTTAGCCGCTACAATTGAAGCCGAAAGCCAAAAAACAGGAAAAAACGAGAAAGGATAGCGGACTTAGGGACTAGCCGAAGTCACTATACTCTTGTAGTTCAATAGGAGATTTTATGAAAGTTAAAGGATCCTTGTGGGTCATATTCCTATATTCCAAAAACAAGCCCAAACTTTAACCTTAAATTAGTCTGCCGATCTCTATGATATTTAGTATGCCAATATACTTAACCAAATATAAAATTCTTAGCAATTTTCATCCTTGTAACTTCAAAACCTAAGAGGTTAAGGCATTGCCGATTGTTAAGTTATATAGAAGCCGTAGATATAGTCAAAATTAGGTCTTAAAGTTACCATACCCTTTTGAAAGGGTAAAAGGATTGAACAAAAACGAAAAAAAGGCTTGTGTATTCCTCTACCTATGGATGTGTACGGTGTGTGTGAGTGGTTGTGTGAGTGAAACGTGGTTTGGTTGGCGGTGTGGTGGTGCGGAGGGGGGCTAAGGACTGGGAAAGAAAGCCAAAGAAAAGGACGGGTGCATGCTATTATGTCCTGGTTATAAAAACAAAAAAGGAAAGGCTAGAAAGAAAATAAGAGAAAACACTTGACTTCAATTTCGGCGAGATTTTCAGCAGCTCTGGTGTGTAAAGGATGTGGAAGGTGGTGGGGCGGAAAGAGGAGGCTGGCAGGATGGGGGAATGAAGGCTAACGAGGATGCAGGCTGCCTGCCAGGATGATAAAAAATTAAACACGAAATGGCGAGCTGGAGTTGGCTTTAATTGAGTACGCTTTTAGCTTTAAATTGAGTTGGTATTAAAATCATTGCAGCAATCAATGTTTAAAGTGGGGATAAGTTTTATTATTAAGGCGAAAGTATTCCCAAAAAAAGCACAAACTCAAACTTGATGAAAACAAGAAAACTTTTGAGATACAAAAACTAAGGGTATGGTAGATTAAAGTTGAGCAAGTATAAGTTTTTGTGTTTAAACTTGACTTAAACTAAGCTAATTAAAATTAAAACAATCTCTCAATGTGTGCCCCGAAAAAACAGCAATCATGTATGATATATAGAAGTTTAAAAACTCATTAAGTCTTAACGATCGAACCATAATTCGGGCAATCAATCATGAAAATACATTGCCGAGAATTGTTTATGAATTTTTTGATTGATTTATTCACAGTTTTTGAAAACGAGCCCTCCTGCTGGTGCTTTTATGAATATGTATTTACAAAACCATTTTGTTTATTTACTGAGACCCGAAATTAGCGCAAACAACAACTTCCAGCAATGAAGAAATTTCCATTTTTAATCTAGCAAACTCTGCGGCTTGAGTCCAAAAATAACGGGAACAAATCGTGCTAATATATATATAGAAGCGGGTGCATGTACAGTATAGATATAGAGCTATATTTGAATATATGTATGTATATTTTTTTCTACATATTTATACATATGGTGTGGAGCAATGCACGCAATGCGGCGACTGCGGTTGCGACGGATTTAAATTTAAATTTAAAATGAACATTTACGCTTTCCGGGCGTATTTTGCCGCCGATCCGTTTTTCGTTTGACCTGTTCTAGTTGCGGTATATACATATATATGTTTATGGCCAAACTTGTGCATTCCCCCATGGCGGATTCTTTTGTTAAAACCGATTTGTTTATAATAAAGTGTTACGTGCGACTTGCTACGCCTCGAATGGCCAAACAACAAGTATGGCATGTGGGAATTAAAAGCCAATGGAATTGAGAGATGAAAAAGATTTACAGCAGTGCAAGGGCGTTGAATTGACCCACCCACACTCTCACCCACCCCAACAGAAACTTGAAATACACGAGTTAATTGTAAAATCGTTGCTTGTTTTCGCAAATAAACGGAACAAGAAGCATTAAAATTACTTTTTAATTGCCACAGCTGTGTGCTGCCATTCAGGTGAAATAAAAAAAAAAATTCTGACAGAGTCCATTAGGCAATTTTCCGTTTCATTTCCTTTGCTTTTATTTTGTTGTCTTTTATGGAATTAATTGGCTTAAAAATCTGCTTCTTGCCAGCCGCAAAGGACTCAGTGCTCTCAGTATCTGCCAGCGATTGTTAATTGAGCCACTCACACACACACACACCACACAAACACACACACATACTGATCCGGTCGCGGGGCTCTCAAAATACACACTCAGGCAGTGGAAAGAGAGGCTCTCGAAAGTTTCAACTCAAACATAAAAGTTACAAGTGAAATTTTATTTACTTTTTGCCGACGGACTCTGGTTAACCGGCTCAGCCACCTGCTAGTGACACGCCTCTCCGGCTGGACGCCTCAACCTTCCGTCCGTCCGTATCTGTCAGTTAGAGGTCCTCCGGTATTCCTCTTGTATCTCGCAATCAGAGCTGGAAACGCGTGCATTCACTGATAACGCCAAAAACAAACACTTCACTGCGTTCAGGACTCAGGAGAAGCCTCCTCAGTTCCCTGCCCTGTTAACTGTGCTTCACTGTTAGCTACTGCGAGTTTCTCTTAGCCCGATTCGCTTCCTTTTTCCGTTTGCTCGTTGTGCTGCGGCCGACGCGAAAACTACTACTAAAGTGAACAAACGAAAATGAAAACGAAATCGAAAACGAAACTGAACTCAGCTGAACCAGAGCCTTGCGGCCAAAGCGAGATAGGGACAAAAAAAGGGACAGAGAGAGACAGTTGTCGAGAGGAAAAGCTTTCTCTTATAGCGGTGAATGCAATGGCTATGTTAAAATGGCGGTTTAACGGCTAAATGATTAAAAGATTACTCATACGCCATGTTGGCCCAAAGAAACTTTTACTTTTCAAGTAATATAAAATATATTACATAATAATTTCACTAAAAGTAAAATAATATCAGATCTTTACATATCAAAAGAAAAACATAAACATAAATGGCTACACTGCGTATATTTAATCTTCTTCATTCACCAAAGCAATAAAACTTCCATTTATGATTGCAATTTTCGTATCAACTACAAATATTAATGGAATATCCGATGTAACAAACCAATACCATTAATCAAGTTACTGGAAATCCCTTTAGTAATGTTTACTTGCCTCAGCTAATCCCCCATTGAGGGACCTCAAGCTGCCCAAACCATTCTTAGCATCTCCAACTTGTAGGATTGTCGACCCAAAAGCTCTCTCGCCCTCTCCCTTAATTCTCAAGAGTACTTGATTAAAGAGCGAACGAGCAGCTTTTGTTTTTTGTTTTTTTGAATTTTTTTTTCAACTAACAATTCCTTGTGTTAGGTCGTGTTCGTTTTGCCAAGGAGACGATTGTCGTTAACTAATATTGGTAGAGGGAGTTGATTGACTCAATGACTGAATGGCTGACTGGCTGACTGGCTGACTGACTGGCTGACAGACAGGCCCATATTTGGCTGAAAAGCGCATTGCCAGAGTTCAAGTGCGATGGCGGTGTGCATTTCATTTCCTTTTGTTTTTTGTTGGCCAGGAAACGCGCGGCAATTTGTGCCGGAAATTTTAATGTTGTTTTGGCCAAAAGCCATCTTCCTTCTGAAATCCTATCTCTTCCTAAGTGTTTGCTGTTAAATTAAAAATATACTTGGCAACATTTAATTACTTATTCATGGGTGCTACAGGCTTGTTTACTTTTCTCTTTAAAGGATAATAAGGATATGGCAGAGAAGTTGGTCTTAGCAGTATTTTTCTATCTGTATAATTGCAATAATTATATTAAATATATTATTATAAATAACATATAGGCGTATTTATAGCCACATGTTGTCGGAGGTCATGGTTCTTTCGTATGTTGACTCAGTCATTGACTGACAGAATGACAGATATACCCATATATACACTCATAATACCATTGAAAAGCGCATTGCAAGAGTTCAAGTGGCATGGCGGCGTTTTCTTTTTGTTTTTGTTGGCCTGGAAACGAGCGCCAAATTCATCGGAAATTTTATTGTTGTTTTTACCAAGTTCTTAATGCCATTTCTCTTTCGTCTTAGCCTCTTCGCCCTATCAAGACTTTCATCAGTGCGACCCTCAGCTCTGCGAGTCTAAATTAAAAGCATACTTAGAGGCGTTTAATTACTTATTCATGGACGCTTGCGGCCCCAGTCTTGATTGGGACGACGGAGCAGTATCAACCTCCCCCCAAAATGAGCCTATTTCTTGTTGTTTTGTTCTCCCCTAACCGGATGCCATGGAGTTTACTGTCGGAGCAGGGGGTAGAAGAGAGTTCCCTAGATTGTTTGATCGAATTTCAGTTCCCCAGTACATCTGGCTGGCAGTTTAAATTGTAATCCTGTCCCGCGTGCGTATATTTTGTAGAAACAACCCAACAAGATGGATGACATGAAGAGGCCCTCAGTGACCGGTGGCACGGTGACCATAAGGCCACGGCTTATATACGGTCTCCGGTCGGATGTCATTGGTAATATCCATTTTAATCTGACCAAGGAGGTCATCTATCCAGTGGAGGGTGTCCTGGCATTCCACGATTACGTGCAAAACAAGCAACGGTTTCTGAGGTGAGAGTGAGGCAATCCTTATATGTTTTAGTTCTTAAATCATTGTTAATCCCCAGATTACCAGAGGATACTCGACCAGAGGTTATTGCCATAAGCTCACATCGCAAACTGTTGGCCGTGCTGGAGAGACATACTAAAAAGTGAGAATTGAATAGCTTAAATATGATTCCGATTTTGTAATCCCCATATAGTGGCCGCTATATATCCATTTATGAACTAGCCACCCTGAAGAAACGCCGCCACTTGGAACTGCCAGCCAATCACAAAAACAGTGAAGTCCAGCAAATGATTTTCACCAATGACTCCAGATCTGTGGCTGTGGTGACCAAGCCGCCAGAGGAGGCGGTTATCATGATGGTCCTGGACAAGACCAGTACCATTATCGAAGGAAGAGCCACAGTTCCAGGGTCGCATGGTGGTGCAGAGTGCATCGCCGGAAACCCGAACGATTGCAGCTTTTTGGCAGTTGGAGGGGAACGAACCCTGTTATTGATGAGCAAGTCGGAAAGGGGTTTCAGCATCAGCAATAATCTGAAGGTCAAGTATCGGGTCTGCTCAATGGCCTTCTTGTCGCTGGATCTTCTAATGGTGGGATCGGCGGATGATCAACTGATTCTCGTCGAGAACGGTGAACACAAGTTGATCCAAAAAGCCAGTGATGCGGACACCGTGGATCTCATGATCGACCAAGAGATATTCGATCGTGATCGGGAGTTGCAGGATCAACGCTTTGTGACCACGCAGCCAGTTACTTTGTTTGACCGGAGAGTCCTTTGCATGACCGCCTTTCCCAAAGGATTTGCCTACGTCATTTTCAATCGGGTCTTTGTGTTTGAAAGAGTTTCCAAGTTTAAGTTCGAAAGGAAAACCATCTTGACGGTGCCTATTAATTTGTATTCAGAGCCCCAGTACCAGATCCGAAATCTGGCCATAGATCACAAGCAGGAGACGGTGATCGTGACGACAGCCCACTCTCAGATCTACGTGGGCATTCTCATAGTCCCGGAGACGCTAAAAACCAAGCAGCTAAAGTTTGAACCTCTGGGCGTGCTCATCCATACGGCGGAGATAATTGCCATATCAGTGTGCGCCTGGAAGCCCATCATCATGACTGCCTGTGAGTAGAACTTTGACCCATCATTACGTACTTATCCTTTCTAATCCAAGCAATTTACAGCCAGAGATCAGACCATTCGGATCTGGAACTATGAGACTGCCCTCGTGGAGCTGGTGAGGAAATTCCAAGTGGATGTCAACATTGTCGAGCTGAGTTTGACGGGTCAGATGGCGGCCATTGGCTTCTCGGATCAGCTGCGTATAACCCAGATCTTTATGGATGACCTAAATGTAAGATTGAAAGATATACAAAGATGAATCCCTTAATCCTTACGTGACATTTTCTTTTAGATTGTAAAAACCTACAACTTTCCCCACTGCAATGCTGTGCGTTACTCCAATCTGGGTCACCTAATGGCCGCCGCCTACGACAATAACATTGCCGTCACCTCGGTGTACAAGCTGGATGTGATGATTAACCTCAAAGGACACAATGGCATTGTGTTGTCCGTAGCCTGGTCAAAGAACGACAAGTACTTGATCTCAGGCGGAGCCGAGGGTGCCATTTATCTGTGGGACATAGAGACTGGTACCCGAGCCCAGGAGATAGTACAGAAGGGCACTGAATACGTGACCCTCTCGTGCAGCTTTGGTGATCCCTTTACCATCTATGCTGGCACCAGTGTGGGCACGATCCGTGAGTTCCAAGACTCGACGCTTGTAAGGGAGATCACTATTCCTTCCAGGAATAAAGGCTCCGTTACGGATATGTGCTTGGCCCGATCGGATCTTATAATGTTTATATCCGATCACGAGGGGAACCTCTTTAACATGCAGCTTCCGTTCATGGAGGCTGGCGGCGGAACCTTCACCAACTTCCGGTTCTTCGATGGGCCAGTAAACAAGATGCGATTCTCCTACTGCGGCAATATGCTGTTTGCCATCTCCAGCAAGGGCACCCTGGCCATTTGGTCAATGGACAACATCGAGGGCAAGGTGCCATATATGGACCAGGACTTGATGCGCAGCCAAGAGGTTCTGATCCCCCGGAGTCAGTTGAACGACAAGATCGAGCAGATAGCCAACTTGGAGTTGCGACTGAAGCAGCAGGCAGAGGAGTTCCAGTACCAGCTGAGCCAGAACGAAATCTTTGACGGCCAGCAGCTGCAGGAGGTGCACAGGAGCTACTGCTCAGCGCTGGAGGAGCTCAAGGAGCTGAACAACGAAATCGAAGCCCGGCATACGGAGGAGATGAATCACATTACGTTCCAGATTAATTCCATCAGGGAGGATCATCGTATTCAGCTGGACACCCTGGCCACCCAGTACTCGGAGCGGATGTTGATCGAATACCAGAAGTTCACCAATTTGCGAGAGAATATGTTGGAGTTGCGCGAGAGTTACGAGGATAAGCTGAAGAACTCCACAGGCACTCTGCAGGATACGGTGGAGGCTCTGGAGAACAACTACAAGCAGCAGCTCAATGAACGCAAGGAGCTCATCCGCGATCTTATGAAGGAGATGCAGGACAAAAAGGCCGAGTTCATCGAGTACTGCCACGAGGTGGAGCTCGAAAATGATCGCAATATGGTGTCCACCCAAACCGAGTACGAAAACAAGTTAACCACCGAGAGGAATGAGACGCAGATGTGGCGCGGGAAGGCTGGAGTCCTTCAGAAGAAATTCGAGTCTCAGAGCAAGGAAATCGACAATCTTCTTGAAGAGGTGGAGATACTCAAAGAGGAGCACCAGAAATCCCAACGTAATATACAGAAACAGCTTCGCAACATTGAAGATCTGCAAAAGGACATTGCCGATCGTGACTATGCCATCAATGGCAAAGAAAAGCGAATCCAGGACCTGCTGCACAAGAACCAGGAACTGGACAAATACAAGCAGGTGCTGGGCCATAAGATCGCCGAGTTAAAGGCCCAGATAGAACCAAGGGAGTTTCAGATCAACGACAAGCGAAAGCACATCATTGAAATGGAGGCGGAGCTGGAAGGCCTCAACCAGAATAATCTCCAGTTGGAGCTGCAGTTGAAGGAGATGCGCGACAAGTACCTAAGCAATTCCGTCGAGCTTCGGACTGAGCGCCATCGGGCGAAGGCCTCCCGGGAGTGTTTGCATGCCATCTGCTCGGATATCTACTATGTGGCCGGGGAGATTAACTCAAGCGAAGGCCTCAAGAAGGCCGTGAAGGAACTCTTCCGCAAGCACGCCTCCGACGACGAGCTCAAGCGCTTCGTTAGCCTGGAGGCGGAGGTGAAGGATGAGTTTATGCGACAACGCAAGCAAATCGAAAATGTCCTGGCGCGGTACAAAACGGTGGCTGAAGACAAGACGGTGCAAAGGAAGTACGACAAGCTTTTCAAGGAGAATGTTGTTTTGCTGGAGGAAATCGAAAAGCTGCAAGAGACCAACAAAGTACTGCGCAGCAAGCTCAAGGAAGACATACGGCGATCAACGCTCCAAAAAAAATAATTACAGTCTATAAAAATATGTATTTCACATTGAACTTAACGAAATATTTAGTTGAAAGGCTATATATACATATAAAAAATGGCATTAGTTAAGAAGTGTGTATAGCTATATCTAGGCCTCGACCAAGACTTTTTTGGGTTTGCTGCTTATTGCTTTGGTCCTTTCAGGCTCCTCCGACGTTTCGGGTTCGTTTTCCGCAGGAACAGGCAAATCTTCGGTGGGCACGTCTGGCAGTTGTGCAGTTTTCTGCTGGTCCTCCTCGGCCTCGAGGGCATCCAATTCGGCCAGCACATCCTCCTCGTCTTGCTCCGTTAGCACATCCGTCAGTATAGCGTCGATCTCTTGCTGTTTTTCGATTCCCTCTCGCGTCTCGTCCATGATGCGTTCCACCTCGTTTATGTCCAGCAAATCGTGCACCTTCTTCAGGGCTGCATTGCCTGCCTTGAGGCCATCCAGCACCTTCATCTCAACTTGGGCAAACTCCAGGTCGGCGGCTAGTTTCTCCAGGTTCTCCAGCTGCTTGTCCGCGTTGGTCAAGAGACTTTCCTGGTACTTTTTCTTTCGCAGCAAAGACTTGGCCCGGCTAGAGGAGTAGGAGGAGTTAGTGACGACCTTATTGGTTTTATAATAAATACTTACTCCTTGCGACCCTGTTGGAGACACTTCCTGGCCAGCAGTCTGTCATTTTCCAGTTGCAGTTCTATGCGTTTTTGGTACTGCTTCAGGCGATCCCGTTGCTGCTTGAGTTGCTGGAATAAGGATGTTTTGGATGGTTAGATAGGTTGACTAGACTCTATATTAGCCATTTGCTTACTAAAACCGCCTTGTCCTGGTCGGTTATTCGGCTAGGAGCCGTTTTTTTGCTACTTTTCCCAAACAAAGCCCCCATGACTCAATTAGTATAGCCAGCTGACGTGTTGCAAAGTGTTCCTAACGCCAACCGGAATGCAATGTGACCAGCTGCCGGTAACCAATCTTTTTCAGGTGAACGGCTATACTGCCAACATTTGAACGGCTGATCAACATTTCTGATAACTTATCATAATCCGAATCAAAATCGGTTACAGCCCCTTCCTCACCCTGCCAATGGAGCCGGAGATCAGGCCGCATGTTTTAATCATTGAACCCTTCTATGGAGGCAGCCACAAGCAGCTGATAAGCACATTAGTTGAAAGTTTACGTCCGGAGGAATATGAGATTTACACTCTGCCGGCCAAGAAATGGCACTGGCGGGCACGGAGTTCGGCGCTTTACTTCTCCCAGGTCATACCACAGGATCATAGCTACCGGGTTTTATTCACCAGTTCCGTGCTCAGTCTGGCCGAGTTGATCGGCATCCGGCCGGACCTGGCCACGTGCCGGAAGATTGTTTACTTTCATGAGAACCAACTCATCTATCCAGTGCGGGAAGTCAAGGAGCGAGACTGTCAGTATGGACTGAATGAAATCCTCACCTGCCTGGCAGCCGACTTGGTGCTTTTCAACTCCAACTTTAATCGAACCTCGTTTCTGGACAATGTTAAGCCCTTCCTCAACATCCAGCCCGATTTCCGGGTGAAAAACATACGGGAGAAGATTGAAAGTAAATGCGAAGTTTTGTATTTTCCCATTAACTTTAAAGTCTTCCCTGATCAGCGACCTGTTGAGGATTCCACAAACATCAAAGACGCCCTGCATCTGGTCTGGCCCCATCGCTGGGAGCATGACAAGAATCCAGAACTCCTGGTCTCGGTGTTGCTGGAGCTGGTCAACCGCCAAGCTAACTTTCATGTTACCATCTGTGGTGAGAGCTACCAGGAAGTTCCCCAGGCCTTCGAAAGCATAAAAGAAAAGTTGGGTGACCGACTGATTAACTTTGGCCACCTAACCCGTGATGAATATGTGAGGACCCTGCTCACAGGCGACATTGTGATATCCACCGCCATACATGAGTTTTACGGAGTAGCCATGCTGGAGGCGGCTTACTGCGGTTGCTATCCACTAGCCCCCAATAAGTTGGTCTATCCGGAAATCTATCCCAAAGAAAATCTCTTCAACACAACGAACTCCTTGGTTAAGATGCTTTCCAACTGGTGCCGGAACCCCAGTGCTTTTCGAAGGATTCGTGATAAATTCCGGAAGGAGTTCGATTTTGAAAAGTTTTCGGCGCAATTTTTGGTTCCCAGATATTTTGAGAAAATGAACGTTGAAGAGTTGCGACCAGAAGAACTAAGATAATACTTGTTTAGTAAAGTCTTATTTTGTAATAAATTTTTTGTTAAAACAACTCATTTTGTACAGTTAATTATTCCGTTTTTATTCGCACTTGCGTGCAAACCATTTTCAAATTGTAAAAAATATCTCTAATCCAAATTGAAAACCAGACAGAGTAGTTTAACGGTACGACTTCTGGTAGCGGGCACGGGCACCTGGACCGCCGAACTTCTTGGGCTCGCAGCGACGCGGATCGCCGACCAGCAGGGTTCTGTCGTACTGCACCAGAATGTCCTTGATCTCCTTCTTGGAGGCCTCATCGACATCTAAAATGAAGAGAAACAATAGAACGCAAGGAGCTCATCCGCGATCTTATGAAGGAGATGCAGGACAAAAAGGCCGAGTTCATCGAGTACTGCCACGAGGTGGAGCTCGAAAATGATCGCAATATGGTGTCCACCCAAACCGAGTACGAAAACAAGTTAACCACCGAGAGGAATGAGACGCAGATGTGGCGCGGGAAGGCTGGAGTCCTTCAGAAGAAATTCGAGTCTCAGAGCAAGGAAATCGACAATCTTCTTGAAGAGGTGGAGATACTCAAAGAGGAGCACCAGAAATCCCAACGTAATATACAGAAACAGCTTCGCAACATTGAAGATCTGCAAAAGGACATTGCCGATCGTGACTATGCCATCAATGGCAAAGAAAAGCGAATCCAGGACCTGCTGCACAAGAACCAGGAACTGGACAAATACAAGCAGGTGCTGGGCCATAAGATCGCCGAGTTAAAGGCCCAGATAGAACCAAGGGAGTTTCAGATCAACGACAAGCGAAAGCACATCATTGAAATGGAGGCGGAGCTGGAAGGCCTCAACCAGAATAATCTCCAGTTGGAGCTGCAGTTGAAGGAGATGCGCGACAAGTACCTAAGCAATTCCGTCGAGCTTCGGACTGAGCGCCATCGGGCGAAGGCCTCCCGGGAGTGTTTGCATGCCATCTGCTCGGATATCTACTATGTGGCCGGGGAGATTAACTCAAGCGAAGGCCTCAAGAAGGCCGTGAAGGAACTCTTCCGCAAGCACGCCTCCGACGACGAGCTCAAGCGCTTCGTTAGCCTGGAGGCGGAGGTGAAGGATGAGTTTATGCGACAACGCAAGCAAATCGAAAATGTCCTGGCGCGGTACAAAACGGTGGCTGAAGACAAGACGGTGCAAAGGAAGTACGACAAGCTTTTCAAGGAGAATGTTGTTTTGCTGGAGGAAATCGAAAAGCTGCAAGAGACCAACAAAGTACTGCGCAGCAAGCTCAAGGAAGACATACGGCGATCAACGCTCCAAAAAAAATAATTACAGTCTATAAAAATATGTATTTCACATTGAACTTAACGAAATATTTAGTTGAAAGGCTATATATACATATAAAAAATGGCATTAGTTAAGAAGTGTGTATAGCTATATCTAGGCCTCGACCAAGACTTTTTTGGGTTTGCTGCTTATTGCTTTGGTCCTTTCAGGCTCCTCCGACGTTTCGGGTTCGTTTTCCGCAGGAACAGGCAAATCTTCGGTGGGCACGTCTGGCAGTTGTGCAGTTTTCTGCTGGTCCTCCTCGGCCTCGAGGGCATCCAATTCGGCCAGCACATCCTCCTCGTCTTGCTCCGTTAGCACATCCGTCAGTATAGCGTCGATCTCTTGCTGTTTTTCGATTCCCTCTCGCGTCTCGTCCATGATGCGTTCCACCTCGTTTATGTCCAGCAAATCGTGCACCTTCTTCAGGGCTGCATTGCCTGCCTTGAGGCCATCCAGCACCTTCATCTCAACTTGGGCAAACTCCAGGTCGGCGGCTAGTTTCTCCAGGTTCTCCAGCTGCTTGTCCGCGTTGGTCAAGAGACTTTCCTGGTACTTTTTCTTTCGCAGCAAAGACTTGGCCCGGCTAGAGGAGTAGGAGGAGTTAGTGACGACCTTATTGGTTTTATAATAAATACTTACTCCTTGCGACCCTGTTGGAGACACTTCCTGGCCAGCAGTCTGTCATTTTCCAGTTGCAGTTCTATGCGTTTTTGGTACTGCTTCAGGCGATCCCGTTGCTGCTTGAGTTGCTGGAATAAGGATGTTTTGGATGGTTAGATAGGTTGACTAGACTCTATATTAGCCATTTGCTTACTAAAACCGCCTTGTCCTGGTCGGTTATTCGGCTAGGAGCCGTTTTTTTGCTACTTTTCCCAAACAAAGCCCCCATGACTCAATTAGTATAGCCAGCTGACGTGTTGCAAAGTGTTCCTAACGCCAACCGGAATGCAATGTGACCAGCTGCCGGTAACCAATCTTTTTCAGGTGAACGGCTATACTGCCAACATTTGAACGGCTGATCAACATTTCTGATAACTTATCATAATCCGAATCAAAATCGGTTACAGCCCCTTCCTCACCCTGCCAATGGAGCCGGAGATCAGGCCGCATGTTTTAATCATTGAACCCTTCTATGGAGGCAGCCACAAGCAGCTGATAAGCACATTAGTTGAAAGTTTACGTCCGGAGGAATATGAGATTTACACTCTGCCGGCCAAGAAATGGCACTGGCGGGCACGGAGTTCGGCGCTTTACTTCTCCCAGGTCATACCACAGGATCATAGCTACCGGGTTTTATTCACCAGTTCCGTGCTCAGTCTGGCCGAGTTGATCGGCATCCGGCCGGACCTGGCCACGTGCCGGAAGATTGTTTACTTTCATGAGAACCAACTCATCTATCCAGTGCGGGAAGTCAAGGAGCGAGACTGTCAGTATGGACTGAATGAAATCCTCACCTGCCTGGCAGCCGACTTGGTGCTTTTCAACTCCAACTTTAATCGAACCTCGTTTCTGGACAATGTTAAGCCCTTCCTCAACATCCAGCCCGATTTCCGGGTGAAAAACATACGGGAGAAGATTGAAAGTAAATGCGAAGTTTTGTATTTTCCCATTAACTTTAAAGTCTTCCCTGATCAGCGACCTGTTGAGGATTCCACAAACATCAAAGACGCCCTGCATCTGGTCTGGCCCCATCGCTGGGAGCATGACAAGAATCCAGAACTCCTGGTCTCGGTGTTGCTGGAGCTGGTCAACCGCCAAGCTAACTTTCATGTTACCATCTGTGGTGAGAGCTACCAGGAAGTTCCCCAGGCCTTCGAAAGCATAAAAGAAAAGTTGGGTGACCGACTGATTAACTTTGGCCACCTAACCCGTGATGAATATGTGAGGACCCTGCTCACAGGCGACATTGTGATATCCACCGCCATACATGAGTTTTACGGAGTAGCCATGCTGGAGGCGGCTTACTGCGGTTGCTATCCACTAGCCCCCAATAAGTTGGTCTATCCGGAAATCTATCCCAAAGAAAATCTCTTCAACACAACGAACTCCTTGGTTAAGATGCTTTCCAACTGGTGCCGGAACCCCAGTGCTTTTCGAAGGATTCGTGATAAATTCCGGAAGGAGTTCGATTTTGAAAAGTTTTCGGCGCAATTTTTGGTTCCCAGATATTTTGAGAAAATGAACGTTGAAGAGTTGCGACCAGAAGAACTAAGATAATACTTGTTTAGTAAAGTCTTATTTTGTAATAAATTTTTTGTTAAAACAACTCATTTTGTACAGTTAATTATTCCGTTTTTATTCGCACTTGCGTGCAAACCATTTTCAAATTGTAAAAAATATCTCTAATCCAAATTGAAAACCAGACAGAGTAGTTTAACGGTACGACTTCTGGTAGCGGGCACGGGCACCTGGACCGCCGAACTTCTTGGGCTCGCAGCGACGCGGATCGCCGACCAGCAGGGTTCTGTCGTACTGCACCAGAATGTCCTTGATCTCCTTCTTGGAGGCCTCATCGACATCTAAAATGAAGAGAAACAATAGTTTGTTAAATACAAGCCTTAAATATTTGTGAAAGTAATTAATTATAGGTTTTGAAGAGTGTGTCGATGAAGCCTCAAAATAGCAATGGTCAAATCTGCCTACTGCCCTCTTTGATTGCCTCATGCACTTGTTCTTCCTTGCTCGAGTCATTCACTGGAAATGGCACAGAATTCCAACAAAAATCTGGGAGAAGGTGCTGGCTTTGACAATAGTTGGTCTAAATGTTCCTGAAGCATCACCCAATCTGCTTATTAAGCAAGCAACTTGGTTGGTATATGCTCATAATGAAGTTCAGTCTGCCTTTCTTTAATGTCTCATAGGAAATGGCAAATAATTCCAACAAAAATCTGGAAGAAGGCGTCTATAGTCCAAATGTTTCCGATGCATCACCCAATCTGCTCTGTAAGCTAGCAGCTTGGTTGGTATATGCTCGTAATGGAGGTCACTCTGGCCTAAATGAATCATTTGCAAAAGAGACGGATTTCTCTCAAACAAAAACCTATTAAGGCGGGGAAGGGACATTTGTAAAAGTCTGCTGATACTTACACTTCTGGTAGAAGGCAACGAGGGCCTTGGAAATAGCCTGGCGGATGGCGTAGATCTGGGCTACATGACCACCACCGTTGACGCGCACACGGATGTCCACGCCGGCGAATTTCTCCTGCAAGAAGATTGATTTAAAGTAGGATTAGTAAAGAGCACAAGAGGTCCCAATCCTTAGTTAGGATTGTTTTAATCAGATAATAAAAGTAATCTCATTTGGCTTCGAATTCGGGATAAAGGTTATCATCATTTGATTCAAAAAAGTCTGGTTTACATCGAAAACTCTGACTTTTGGCTTAATCCTTTACTGAAAAGGAATTCCTATCAAAACTCACCTTGCCGAGCAACAGGAGAGGCTCCTGCAGTTTGTATTGCAGAACCTTGGGTTCAATCTGATCCAGGGGACGTCCGTTCACCCTCAGGAGACCGTTGCCACGCTTGCAGTAGGCCACGGCGGTGGCGGTTTTCTGCAATAATTAAAATCACTAGTAAAATCCATTCAATAATATAAAAGTCTCTAAAAAAAAAACCATTGAAACCTTCCACACACAAACATAACCTCAGCGGCAAGCGGTAGACACTAAATAAAATCTACCGCCTTCAGACGCGCTTTTCGTTTGCGACACGTGCGAAAACTTCACTGGATTTAGCGATTTAAGCCACACAAACCTTGCGTCCGAAGACCTGGACGGCCTGCACGGGTTCTCTGCGCTGCAAAAGTCAATTGTAACCATTAGTAATGAACGAAATATTTGTTTTTTCACAGGCACAAATACCTTCTGCTGCATTTTGCTCCGCGAGTTGGGTAGGAAAAGAGCGGAAGTCGCGTTGACAGTTGGTGGGACCAGATTTTCGGTCTAGCTGTCATTGAAAAAAATACCAAAAAGCGCCATCTATGGGACAGTGTTGCATAACAAATGATAAAAGTGGGCATTAAAATATATATTTATATACTTAAAAATATATAAAAATCGTGTTCGAAACAGAAATTATGCTTATAAAGAAACTAATAAAAAAAATAATTACATTTAATTCCAAAAAGATACGATGGAAACTTCACCCCACTTCGCCAAAGTTCCATCACTAGCGAAATCGATAACTTATACTCAAGAATGAAAAAACGAGCGTAATAAACGTTTCTTGTGCATCATTGTGAATACTCCCTCGAAACTGCTGAGCGTGCAATAATTGGCAAGCGAGCCATGGTTATCTGTGCAGCTGCCATGCCACCAGACACGAGACAGCATAATAACCAGGTCAAAGAACCCCGCAAACTAATCGATGACCTCGAAGGCTCTGGCCAAGGAGATGAAAAGGGAACAGGCGGTGACAATCGCGAGGAGGGAGAGATTGAGGACGAGTTTGAGTTGATCATATCATCCGAGGACGAGGAGTTTAAGCTACGTGCCCGCATTCAACAGCTGGAGGAGAAGAACCAGGATGTGGAACGGATGGATATGCTTTCCGCCAATTTGGCGCATCATTACAGTAAGCAACATGTTGTTGGTTGTGTGTGTATCCGGGGGATGGTCCCATTTTATCCCTCAAGGACTAGTTGATAAATATAAGAAAACAAATCAATTATTGCCTTTTATTATTGTTTCAGTGACAAGGTTCCCCATGGTGGGTTATTTGACGTTATGAAACTATTCTGTATATTTTCGCAGGTTATCCGAAACCAGCGGGGCGTTTTCCACGACACACACCGAAATCGCCCGTCCTTGTGCTATCAGATGTGTCCAGTCTATCGGAGAACGAGCTGGACGCCCAGCGAAGGGAGATTAAGCAAAAGCTTCGCCGCATGGATTTGGCCAAAAGGTATGGACCGAGTGATACCCGCAGGAGTGCAATCAGCAAACGAACCAGCTACAAACACCATCATGCATTGCCTCCGCGGAGACGCCAGCCATACCACCACTACTCTCAGAACTATCACCTGCCGCGCCATTACAAAAATCATGCGAGCTCACCGCCCCATCATCAGGATACCATTCTGGTCGATTCGCTGGACAGCCTTACAGACGACGAGTTCGACGAATACGATGAGGACGATGAGAATGAGGACGAGCTTGACCTGGAGAGGCTGAAGCTGAGCAGAGACAAGCTTCGAGTGGCCTTGGCGCGAGAGGAGCGCCAGCAAATGTACAAAAACAGTCTGCGTGAGCGTCTGCAGGTTCGCCTGCATAAGTCACCCAGTCCCAAGTTCACAAATGACTACTCCCGGTTCCCCCCGAGTCAACTGCCGTTGCCCCTAAAACATATATCTGACAATGAGGAGAACACATCAGAGCAGGCTTGTGGCAAAAAAGACGACGATCCGGCAGAACTGAGACTGAGATTAGCAGCTCTGAAATCAGCAATGTTAAAAAAACATTTCGCGCGCCAGAAACGAGATGCGGAGCGGGCATACTCGCCCACTGATATGATCAATCGCGTGCATCCTTCCATAACCAATGCGGACGAAATCGACGACCTCATGGAGATAAGTCCGGCCGCTTCCCCAGAACGAGAGCCATCCCCGCCGCGATTTACTCTAGCGGACATGGAGGACACTAAGCCCGTGGACATGGAGCTGGCTGAAACGGACAGCGAAGATCAGAATAGGGAATATGAAAATTGGAATACTTGGGGAAATAATTGGAATAGCTTAGAAACTGCCGGAGGCAGTTGGCGGTCCTTTGTGCCCAACTCGCTGCCACCTGTCTCCATGCCCATTGTGATAGATGAGGACGATGAAGATGATATCCGAGCACATGACCCGAGGGGCCGAGTGGAAAATGTTGTCTTTGATGATGACGAAGAACCGCCTCCGCCCCCGCCATTTCACATTCCGCCAATGCATCTGGAGGACGAGGATGCGCGAGATGCTATGCATCTGGTCGATCACCATTCCAACCATAGTTACATAACTGATATGCAATCGGTTTCCATGGAAAACTCACAGACGCGTATGCGATCACATACCGAGTCCAGTGACGACGAAGCTGGGGCTCTGCGGGCTTTGCTCCTCGCCAATTTGCGTTCAATAAAACCGCCTCCGCCTCCTCCACCCCCGCCTGAGTGCCCGCCCTCGCCGCCACCTCAGAATTTCGGTCCTTCTGCCCCTCCGCCATCCGCCGTTGAACTTCCTAGAGAAGATTCGAACGCAAGCTATGAGTCGGATGACCCAGATCAGCTGCGTTCACTTCTTCTCTCCAGCATAGCAACGAAAAAAGCTGTCAAACCGAGTTTGAGGGGCAATCAGGGCTTGCCAGAGATACTCAAGAATGCTGTGAAGCGCTTCCAAAACAGCGCCTTCTCCCCCAAAGAAGTGGAAGAGCCGACAAGGGAACAGAATCCCATTCCCCCAGAGATAAATGAACCAGAAATCCAGAAAGAATCGCAAATCGAAAGTGTGTCAGAGCCCCCACCAACTCCAATTGCAGCAACCTTTGAAGAACCGGTCGAAATCCCTCAGCGCTTAGAAGTCTTTCAGAATAAAAGTATAAACCAAACCTCACCCTCCTCCAAAATCATCAAAATCGTGAAACCCAACAAGGTGATAAACAAAAAGGCAACTACGAAGAGGAAAATGCCAGTAGATGAGGCATCATCTCCAAGATTGAGTATCAAACGTCCGTCAACGCTTATGATCAAGGAACCTAACGCTCCGCTGCACAGTCGTTCGACAATTGCGTCCAGCACCCGCCTTATTACAACCGTGGATCCAGCTACCATCAGGGTGAACAAATTGGTCATCAGCTTGGCAGAGGAATCGGCAGCTAGCGACGACGATTTAGAGCTGAACTCGTGCATGGCCTACACCCCGTACGCGGACATAGCCAGTCCCCTGAGCCTGGCCATGGGTAGTGCCAGTGGTTCAACCACCCGATCCAACACTCCCACGGCCGAGATGGGAGATATGAATCCCGCACCCAATACCAACCTGAGGAGAACTGTCATCAACGATCACTTTGAGAAAAAGATTGATGACTTCCTGAAACAAGCCAGATCCCAGGCACCTCTGACTAGTTCGCCGGAGGCGTCTGTTGAGAAAATGCCCGAGGAACCAAAGGTAGCCGAAAAGCGGAAAGATGTGCTTCCCTCTCCGATACTTCCTACAAAAATATCACCAGGGGTAGGTTACTATAAGTTAGTTTCATCCTCAAAATATAAAGTTTTTTGTTTTTTTTCAGGCTGTGAGACATTTGCCAGTGGCTTCCCAGAAGGAGTACCTGCGTTTGATCGAGCGCATGCAAATGCTGGAAAAGAAGAAACAATTGGAAGCCAAAGCTAAGGTTCTGGGTCCCAAAAGCAAAGCTAGTCCTGTGAGAAAGGCACCGCCACCCAAACAAAACGGTTCTCTCTCTAAAACGGGGCCAAAGTCGGCTATTAAAGCTAACCCTGCTGGTAGCATCAAGTCCGTTGCGCCACCTGAAGCACCAAAAGATAAACTTCCAGATCCCAAAGTACCAAAGCTCAATCCCAAACCAAATCCCCCATCAAAGGAAAGCCGGCTCAAGGCATTTGAGAATTCGTTTAAAAAAATCGGGTATGTTTCCTGTAGATTCAGCTATGGATATTGATTTCTAAACGTTTTTCGTGCAGGGCCAGCATGGTAACCAATCTGGACAAGTCACTGCAGCTGGTGGAGGAAGCCAAGAAGTCAAAGGCGATACGACTGCAATGTTCGCAGCGACTAAAGGAACTGTATGCGGAAATGCAGTCTGTGAAGCAGGTGGTCAAGCAGGAGGAATTGAAGCTGTCGCGGATTCAGCCAGAGATTCAGACCAGCCACGAGATAATCATATCTCTGAAACAGAAACGCCATAAACTCCACACAGCGGCCATGGACCTGGGCCGTGGATTAAGGGGCGATGACTACAGGTACTACCATCATCAACCACATCAACGACCTGAACGGCGTGGGAAAGCTGGACCAATGCAGATTGCAGCAGCCACATCAATCAAGAGGGGCAGGGGAAAGGTTCTATGCGACTATAGGTTTGGTTTTCTTGCAGGTTAATCGACGAGGGCAAGGCGACTATCACGCAAAAATCCACGAAATTAACCAAGGAAATCCGTCTCTACAATTCCATCTTGAAGTACGATGACCTGAAGAAACTGACTGCTCCAGAGGATCTTCAGCCAAATCCTGTGATTGAACCGGAGGATCCCGCTCCCACGCCACCCGCTCAGGAGCCTCCTGAAGAAAGGCCAACGGAATTGGAGGCGAGCAACCGAGAGGAGCCTTCGGAAGCTTCGGATACAAACAAATCTAGCATAGAACCGGAAAAGATGCCTCTAGATGTGCGTGGATTTCGATTTATACAAATAGCTTTCAAAAAATACCTATGAAAGGCGATTCTCTTAGCCTTCCTAAGAGTGTGGTCAGCACTCTGCTGCCGAGCGATTTGTCGCAAACAAAGAACTAACAAAACGGTTGAGTTTATTTTCAGAATCCGGCGCAGAGCAAACCGAGTGAAGCCAGACGGGGGGTGAAACAACCGGGACCCTTTACTGTGACCACGATGCGGGAGCTAAGGGAGGATACGGCTAAACGGGTGGGATCACTCAGGCACCAATATGTCTTAACCTACCAAACGCCCATGTCCCGCAACTACAACAGGTGAGTAAGAATTTGTTTCTTTGTTGCCTGGTGAAAGTATTTGCTTTCGTTCTTTGTATCCCCTATTCCCCCAGCGACCTTGATGTCTACGCCACCATATGCCCCTTCGATCTGATGGGACGCTGCGAGGATGCAGACTGCTCCTTCCTGCATTTAGCCCGACCCGATGCCCCACCAGGCATCGGCGAGAAAGAGCTGCCAAAGACAAACCTCACTATTAATACCTAACAACCAAACAAAAACAAAAAAAAACTCACATAACCACTAAAAGCAAACATAATCTTAAAAATAGCGTGCTTGAATTCTGGTAAGTTGAACTCTTCACGCAACTTAATATTTAAATGTTGCTTTCAGTCAACTTTAAAAAACGAAAACAAAAAAAAAGTTGAAATTAAAAACCCAACAAATCAAATGCTAAGCAAACCGAAGAGGATGAGCAGATGGCGCCCAACGAGTGCAAATACACAAAAAAAATTGAACAAAGATTTACAAAAAAAAAAGAAATAATCGTTACAGGGTTGTACCTTGTTTGTTATATACATTTATATATAATTGTATATAGTATATCCCATATATATTTTTGACTATCCCATGTAGTGCAAAGTTCCAAAGTTCACCGGCGCTCGATGACGATTTTCGGGCTTCGATACGAACGGATGTGCATTTGTAATTTTCGCTTCTGTTATTCGTTTCTTTTACTTTATAATTTTACTCAATTTTTTCTACGATTTGCCATAAAAGAACCGAACAGAACTGTACTTTGAAATAAGTTCTAGTTACGCGATGTTATTTAGAATATGATTTTGATTTAATTTCTTAATGATGAGAAGGCCAAAACAACATAATTTCGTTTCGAAATCACTCTTTAATATCATTACTATACATTTATAATTATTATAAAGTTTTCTAAAAATGCAAAAAATGAATTTCCAACACAAAATTCAACAAAAAAAAAGAAAGATGAAATAAATAAATAAAAATACCAAAAACAAATGAGGTTTTTCTAGGGGGGAAGGATAAGAGCTCCAACTAAGATAATTTAGCCTTGTTTATTTCTAAATATATACATAATTTAAGTTAAATACAATAGGTTATCACAGCCAATCCCAGCAGGAGTGCGAAATAATTTAATTTACACAGTTTGGTTCGCCGCCTGCATTCTACGCCATCTTACTGGTCGCCATAGAAGACATAGGCATTGCACCAGTCCTTGATGCCATCATCGTTGCTACAGCACATGGGATATATGATCTGGGACTTGGTGACCTTGGCACATCGCATGCACAGCTCCATTGTGGCAGTGTCCTTTTCGCACTGTTGCACTTTCAGGATGGTCTCCTCGGACAGATTCCCGTGATACTCGCTGGGATCGACGCTGGCCGTCTCCATCATCGAGGGTCTCGCGTCGACACTCAGCATGAGGAGGGTCGTTGCCATCAATATACTGCAGAACATCTGCAATAAGTCGAAGATGAAGCAATTTATTAATTGAAATATTTTCGGGAAGACCCAAATGGAATGGGAATCAGAGGCTGTTTGAAGCGCTTTTGTCGGGTTTTGTCTAAATCTTGAAATCAGAGCCAGATTAAACGAGTTTAATAAAATCATTGCACATTCATAATAAAATTAGTTCAATCTTCACTTTTGGATAGATTTTATGAATCTATTTTATTTTATTGTTTAGCACCGCCTATAAATCATTGTGGAGCAAATGGCATTATATATACAAGGAGGTTTATTTCGATCGTTGATTAGAGGCTCGGGCAGTATTATCATTTTGGGTGTTTTGATAGACTTTGTATTCAAATAATTCGAGTCAGGGACAGAAGTGTTTCCTTACTTTCTTAGCCATTCTGTGGATCTGATTAAATAATACTTTCTCTCCCGAAAACGCGACAAAATATTTTTGTTTAATTTGATAATCGCACAATGTTATGATTTCCCGATCTGGTATAGTCAGCAACTGGGAGCCAGTGGCGATGGAGCATTACTTTTTATACACGAGAGGCACGAGTGGCTGAGGCAACGCACCCACCAATCCACCAAACCACCAGCACACCAACACACCAACCCACCACCACAACAATAACAATCTCGAGGCCCGTCAGCTCGGCTGAAGATCGTGTTGAGATCGTGCAGCATTCGTGACACACACAAAATTTGATAGGCCAATACCAGGTAACGCCACTATCTCTACATACGTGCGCCAGATGGACTAAGAAGTTTTGGGAGTACTATTATGTCGGTGGGTTTGTCCATCGAGATAATAATATCAGTTGGAATTTACAATGGCGTTTTTGTTGATTCTCGGCCCTCGGCACTTTGAGGACTAAATTCTTGAAGACAGGAAATATCATTATCAAATTCCAAATATCATTAATGGCCAATATTATAATCACTATTGATTACTTAAAGCTATTTTTTTCGTACTGATCAGATTAAGGATCATTAATGAAACTTTAAAATAGTTGGGTTGTTGCTTGGGGCTTTTAATCTTAATCTTACAGGAAGAGCTAATCCATAATATTATTAAATAATTATCATAAGAGATATTATACCTGGAAACTTGAATTAATATTAGTTTAAAAAACTATGAAATAAATACCCTTCAAAATTATTCAAAACTATGATGTTGATTCTCCATTTGTTTTCCCGCGCAATTCCGCAGTGCATTTATATTTGAATGACGATCAAGAGTCGGGGATCTAGAGAATATGTGACCACATAGTACATGTTCATGTTGCGTAGACACCAGAGGCAATTAGTGAAACATCATGTTGCTGATAATGTGATTTCATGGGCGCCTAACTGATTAAAAGCGATCATTCTGATCCCATCGGAGGAGCTTCGCAATTTTATTGTGCAATGTCTCGGTCAATTTTACTTCCGGCAATAAAATTGAAATCTTTGGGGATTCTCGGAAAATATATGACCTCACGCTTACAATTTATTGCCTTTATTGTTTTGAAAACTAATTAAAGGTGTGACATTGTCTGTAATTCTTAGAATGCACACTGGGGTTTTCCCCTAAAAAGATGCCAATACATCAGAGTGATGGAAACTTTTAATTGGTTTATTTTTCTCGATCTGCAATATTTGTTGCAAAAATATATTCTGGCTAATGAGTAATTCAAATTAGTACGATTACTATTCATAATTACAAGTAGGTGATTGGGAAAATTTCAACTGACCGATCAATAAAATGCGCCCTTTTCTGGGGAACCTTGATCCCACCTTGATAGTAACTGAATGAAATTGTAAACAAATCAGTTCCTGCCCATAATTCCATTCACACTCGATCAGATATGGAACTATGGGGGGATTTTTCATTTAAACATGATAGTATAGTAGGTGTGGAAACATCAACAAATCAGAAGACAAATTTGTACTCTTTGAAGGGTACTCGAAGCTTAATTTATTTGAAGTCCCTCGCATTTGTTATACTAGAGCCCCAGTCCATCATGATTTCTATATTTGAAGACCTAGTTTGTAATTATACTAAGCAAACAAACAATGCTTTTGCTGATTAGACTAATCAAATAATCTGCAATTTTATTGAACCCATTTGAATATACATTGTTATATAGTCATTCTTTCATGCATTGAAAGAATTAAACAAAAAATTAAAAACTCTTCTTAGGAAATCCAAATATCCAGGGCAGTGGCATTTAATGCGACTCTGCAAATAATAAACAATACTGACTCCTTGGCCCAGACAATGAACTTTGGATCCGAAGATTATAGCAATCAGCCACGAAACGTGTTGGTTTTTTGTTTCGCTTTTTTTGAATTAATTAGTCCAATCGAACAGCCAGGAAAGCATGTTACTTTGCGTATAGTATTTCACCAGACAAGTGATTTCGGTAATCAGATCGACACGAATCTGAAAACATAAATTATGCCACTTACTCGGCACATTTTTAATATTCGAAATTCATTCATCCAAGATGTGATATTTGATGGTTTAGTGGGTGGGTGGTCGTTTCTCGGTAGGATTCTGCTGTTGTCAAGTGAACCGGACAAACCTCCACTTATATACGGAAACCTTCTAGTCCGTATTTATAGTGTCAAATGAAATGGATGCGATGAGATTGCCGATCGGTGGCTATAAATATGATTATAAATGAGGAATGTCCAGAAAGCGGAGCTGTAGAGACTCTCTTATCTGGAGAGGTCACCCACCGCCACTGTTTGTTTGTCTCCGTCCTAGATGAGTAATGAGTAATGTCATCAGCCGAATTCTATAGCAATCACCTTGATGGACTCCATAAATCTTGGCTTGGTGTGCTTTCCACCCACACCGTCTGCGAATGATTTTTGTCGTTTTCAAAGTCCATAAACGCAATCTAGATCGGTCTTTATGATTTCAATACATGAGGCTGGAGTGTGCTACCTCAAAGAAAAAGGATATAAAACGATTATTGTCACTATTTTGTCCAGTCTTATCGGTTATGGGCGGCAATCGAATAACGGCTATAAAATAGGCAAACAATTCCTTTCGACTTAAAAATCTTGATTACCAACAGGCAATTTCTACAAAACTATATTATTTCTTAAATCCTTTATTATACTACCATTTATTAAAGAAATAATAAAAACTTTTATCTAACAACCAGATTTATTTTATTATTAGACTTCAATCTATTTTTCATAAAAGGAGTTTCGTTTATAGTTTTTAGTTAACTTTTATATTTTACTAAACTTTTTTTATAGTTTATTTTTATAGATTTTATTTCTTGCAATTAATAGAATTATTCAAACAATATGCGTTTTCAAAAAGCTGATCATCTGAATATCGTTGGTTCTTGCATAAATAAAATTGTTAAAAGCTTTCATGCCAAAAAACTTTGAAAGGTAAAAAAGGTAAGTAAATAGTTTTAATTTAAACATTTTTCAAATTAGAAGTGCAATAAAAGAAAATACCTTTTTGAAATATATACATAGTTGTATTCTCTTTCACTGAAAAGAAATTTTGGATTACCGTATTTCTTTACCGTACAAAGACATGGAACGACAATATGTCTCCCAGGGAAGGCTATATCTTTGGCAATAATTATCCGATTCTTAAGCGGAGTACCTCAAACGAATTGTAGATCGATTCTCCATAAATCTGCATCAAAATCTAGACATTTTTTTTACATTTTTTGTCAAGTTTTCCAGGGGGTCCTCTTCAAAAATCAAGAAAGTGTCCGAACCGACAATTTGACTCCCAGGGAAGGCAACATCTTTGGCAATAATTATCCGATTCTTAAGCGGAGTACCTTAAACAAATTGTAGATCGATTCTCCATAAATCTGCATCAAAATCTAGAGACATTTTTTTTTGTTAATTTTTGTCAAATTTTCCAATTTCCCCAATTCTTGCGGCTTCTGGATTCTGAAGTCACCTGCTGCGTCTGACAATTGCATTTTTGGTATAATCAGCCTTCTTAAAGAAGGTGTTCTTGAATCTGGCATAAATAACCCTTCTGCGTATAGGCCATATTCCACTTAATATTCAAGTACTACCCAAATATTCGCTGGCGCCACTAATTTAATTGTATGGAAGCTTGTTACCCACATGTGTCGAATTAGAAATATCCCCGGTGGCACCAGATTTGCATAGTTTATGGCAGAAGTTGTACAAATGCAATTCCGATGTTGGGCCAGACAGTCGCACAGTGCCCCGCTACCTTCCTGCCCCCCAGCGAATGCTCAATCATTGTCTATTGCCGTTCGCCAATGGCCATTGCAGTGATATTGATTTTCTGCACCGAAACCCCTGATGTAGACCCATTACGACTGCATGCCACTCTATATAGTAGTAGCCAAGGTCAGTTTTAGTCCATGCAACCTTATTATTGGGGGATTTGTGGGGAACGTGACCCGATGTGGTTGCCCGCCCCATTCCCTTCAAGTGTCACCTGTGTCACCTGACCCACAAAGTGTCATCATACATAATGAGGGTAAATATCAGTGAAGGTGTGTCAGCTCATGCAAGTCAAACTAGAATCGATGTTTATTATTTTTTTAAAAGACATTCAGGGCTATGGGTTATTCTATTCTGGAGGGAAGAAATAAAAGCTTAAAAGCCTACAGGGCGTATGATTATTTTTGCCTTGGAGATGGATAATGAATGGGAAGAGGGGACTATCTTAAAATTTCTATCTACTTGAGTAATTTTTGAGTAATTTTTTCTTAAAAGCTTCAAAGCTTACTAATAGTATGATATATATTTTTTGTTGTGGTTTCCTTGTTTTGTATAAAATATTACTAATTGTGAAACAAGAATGTACAGTGTCTTGTTATCCCTCCAGATTAACCAGATAAACGTGGTTGAAACATGAGTATGAAAACTCTTCCAAGTCCACCCTAAAATTTTGCAATGTCCCATTAGTCTTTGTATTGTGCAGGTCGCTCGAAGATACTTAAATACAAATGTACAAAAATAAAACAGAGATAAGCAGGGGAAACGGGGGAAACCAGTAAGCCAGAAACCAGCTGCCAGGCTCTGAAAAGAAAAGGGATCCGTACACGCATGCGCTCATTGCATTCAACTCGCCTGCATTTCAATTTCATTTTCAATGCCTCCAGCCAAGAAATCTGATAACAAAAGCCGAGTGAGAATAATAATAAAAACAACAAAAGCAACAGCTGTGAATGGAACAGGTCGTACCAGCTGCTGGTTCTGCGCCCCCGCGAAGGTAAAAATAAAGAGAGCTCCCAGGTAAGAGCAGGTAATGCTCTTTTTTTCATTCTCTTTGAGTCGAATGTTAAAAATAAATGTGTTATTCATACTCTTAATTTCATTTTTTATTTTATATATAAATTAAGTTATTTTTTAACATTGTTTTTAAATTATAGAGAAAATTCAAAGACATTTTAAAGAAGCAATAGTCAATTAAAAAATTAAAAACTATTAAAAGAAATAGTTTCTTCCATTTAATAACCATTTGTTTTGATTTATGATAACTCCCAATAAAATAATTGCTTTTTAATCAATTGGTTTTTAAAAGAAATATCTCAATTGGTGATGATATTTAAATTTTTTGTTAGATATTTTTTTAATAAAATTTTAAGAGCGAAATATATATATTTTAGTAAGCTCGCACGTTGAGCTCTTTGGATGAGTCTGTCTGGCTCGTGTGTACTGCGAGAGCAGCCGATTCTCAGAGAGTCGCTGGGTAATCGATTACCAGCCACATTACTGGTAATGTACCATTTCGCCAGTGTCCGGAGCAGTTCCTGCTCTTCGGGAACGAGTGTTCATATATTTAAGCAGCTGGCACGACGAGCTCTCTGTTATTGTCGAATGCGCGTTCTTGGGTGAAGCATCTAAAGCAGAGAAGCCACAAAGTGTGGGTATTCGTGGAATATCAAGAGGAATATATTTTTCGTGACTGTGAAACTTTATAATCCCCAACCTAGTGGTCTAACCAATAAACAAAGAAATAAAACAAAACAATTAAATAAGCAAAACAATCAAAATTAATTCGAAAACCAAAATCAACAAGAAATTATAAAAGCAGAAAACGTGCGTGCCATCGTTCGTTCGCTTGCCGCTAAATGAAATGTGTTGAAACAAAAATAACAAAAGTGCAAATTTTTATATAAATCGGCACTCGGTGCTCAACGTTCAAAGTTAACAAATATAGTAGGAGAGGAGTCGGCTAAAGCCCCCCCCCCAGACTGGAACTAAATACGCGACTCAAATCAAATTTGGTGCGCAGATTGGAATTAATATCAAAATAAGAAACCACCTATCATTCTACACAGAGGCGGCTAAGATATTCGCAACCTGTAGCTTTGATATACAAAAATTTTGAATTTTGTGTAAGCCGGAAGCTGTAAGATAGAGACTGGAGACTGGAGAGCTGGAATACCAAAAACGGCCAACAATACTCCACTCCAAATGCAATTGTTTTAGACTCAACATTGAGTCGAGCTTTTACCAGTTAGACAACTAATCAAGCAACAGAGCAGAGCAACAAAAGCAACAAAATGTGGTGCATTGTTAACTTGCCCAACGGCACCCAGCAGGCCGTCAAGTGGGATCCCAAAGCCAATGGACAGGAATGTCTAGAAAAGGTGAGTTCACTGTGGATATTAATAATGTGAGCAGTACTAGTTAGGTATGGTTGGGGAATTTCCATTAGAAATGCTGTTATCACAGCTGACGATTAAAAATTATTAAGACTGTCTTTAGAAGATCCTTCAGAGCACGTGTAATTACGCCACTGGGAGTATCAAGAACCCCTCCTTGAAGGTTGGGATACTTCAAGAGGGAAAGTCAATCGTTATGCCCTTCACAAGTGTTACTAAATGATCCATCTCGCCTTGAAATTACCTCATAGTAGCACTCATATCCGATATATATAACGCGGATATGGTGTAACATCAAAAGAGGCCTTCAAGTCTTCCAGACTCGACCGCAATTTCACTTACACACTTGACTCACTCGAAGCTACAAAAATTGGTTGCTGGTTTTATCTTTCAAAATATATAACTACAAAAAAAATGATTACTTTTTTATGGCAAACGTGCGAAACAGCGCCCCCATGTTCTCGTTTTCGTTCACATTCTCATTTTAATGGCAGAGTTACAGTTTTTTGATGGTTTTCTTCATGGAGGTAATTCCAGGTGGAAAGGTCTAACTATCCTTTGGTATTTGTCTGAGATAGGGGCTGGACCTGTAAATATTCGTTTCAAAATCACAAAATTTTTCCACGCTTATCAGTAATGAGTGTGTTTTCGATTCGCATTCTGTTATCAGTCCGTGTCCGATTTCATTGTCTTGTTGTTTACTAGTTTTGTGCTAATTCGTTTCGAATTACCTTGGCACCCCAGCTGGCCCCCCCGCGAAAAGGTGAATTGTAGTAAATACAAAAAAAAAAAAAAAAGAAAAATAAACCCCAAGAGAAGAGCTTAATCATATGGGGCAGTAACTGGCGGGTTCAACGTCCAAGTGTGTGCCACTTGAGACGTTTAGTGCAAACACTTGACCAGGCCGCTTCTGTTGGGCTCCTCTGTTTCTACGAGCGGTATACATTATGATTTCTGTCCACCTCAACATTCCAAATACCATTACCCCGCCAGCAACCCACTACTCCCCCCCAAAAGATTATAGCCAATTCGGCAATTCGCCTTGTTTGTCAGGCTAATTAAGACTTTGGCTTATATGCCGCCGTACATTAGTGTTTGTGCAATCTAATCAGGCAAACTTATCAAATAACTGTCCACACACACAAATACATAAGCATTAATATTCAGGCCAGATTCGTTGCCAACTTCGGGACTTATCTCTGCCTTAGAAAACAAGAAAACAAGAGACCATGTTTCTGCAACTCTGACAGTCTTATCTAATCGGAGACCGCTCCCTATCAGAAGAGCTAGCCTGGCTATCAAGATCCAGAGCTCTGGAGTGTATATCATATATTGTGCCAACAAGTCGATTTAGGCCAGAGCGTAAATGGTTTTTATGGGGGGGCTTAGACCCTAGAGCGTTACAAAGGTTGCCAGTAGGTATCTTGCAAGGCAGATACTTTGTTGCAGTTCTGCCAAGGATTTAAGCTGAAACCTCCTATTCTATCGATAGAATAATAGATTTCAGTTCACACCCATTGACATTGAGCTTAAATCGGGGAATCTGTGGGTTATCATCAGAGCCACATGTTTTCAATCACGTATGCTACATATTTACATTCAGTATTAATGCTGTGCCAGTCCAATGTCCAGTCCCTAGCGCTATCAGCTCCATTAATCTGTGAAAAAATCTGTCAGATGAAAGCTATTACTTGATCCCCCCAGGGATGGGGCATGTGTGACGCACACTTTTGTGTTGGGACTTTGGATTAATCCAATTAATATTTCTCTGCAGGGATTTAATTTTGAACTATGCGTCAGCTTAATCTATATTTATGGATCCGGCCTATAGGGGGCTTATCGTTGAATGACGCGCCTCTTGTAAGCAGCGATAAGAGTTCTTCAATATGTAACACGCATTCGTCATTGGTCTCCTCCAGCTTGGACGGCCTGGCCATGAGAAATCCATGCTATAAATAAAAATAATTAATTAATTGTCCAAAGAGCAACTTAGTCATGGCTCTGTCAATGTCACCTGCTAAGGTTCCTCCTCACAGTCCTCGTCTAAAGATTATCGGCTCGGGGTGTAAACGAACTGGACGGGCGCCTGGCTAGTGACTCGGGAAAGTGATAAGCGGGTTTACATAACTTTTGAGCAGGGCACCCTCGCCTTATCGCTCTGGCTAATGAACCCCAAGCCCTGACTTAGTCAGTTGCACATTTTAATTACAAAGCTGCCAAGCTGGCTCGGACGCGAATGCCAAGAAACAAAGTTTTTCAGGCCCAGGTTCTGAAAACTTTTCTTCAGGCCCCCCCATCAGGCCCTCCCTGACGTCATTGGGTTGGACGCTTTCGACGAGTTTGCATGTCAAAGTGGGATTACATTTTTGTTACCTCGATTCAACAAAAAATATACTTGTAGGCATGCAAATACAAGCCATATGACTCAGTCGGCCTGTAACTGCCGAAAACTCATGTCAGAACCGCTTAAGGACCACTTTTTCCAGTTCTCGTTGGAGGGATATATGTAAGCCCTTTACTGTGGGCAGAGTGCAACAGTTTTATGCTCGATAATAGTTACTTGCAATTACCAGCTACTTGTAATTGCATTTAAAATTGCCATTTTTGCGGCCCGTTTGTCGTCAGAGCTGCTGCCACTTCTGGTACTTCTGAGTGGCCATTTGAGTTGCTTTTTTGATTGCTTCGGTGGGTTTTGCTTCAAGTGGGCATGGTTGGGTTGGTTACTCGAGTGACTCTGCTGTTACATGACAAAGTCCACACCAGAAAAATGGGAAAATTATTGATAGATAGCCCTGATAAATCACGAGTCTTGTTTTTGTCGTGTCTATGATGAAATGGCAGAACATGGAGGGCCTATAGTCTTCACAAAATGCAGTAATACGCGGTGAAGCAACTAGAATTCCCGGAATCAAGCCCATGTGACATCACCCACTGTGCTGGGTATTGTCCTTGCTTTATCGGATTTCCCGTCAACAAGCTCGCTCTAATCAGATCCTTCTAGCTGGCCGACATCTATTTTCTAGGTGTAATTATATTTGCGAACGCGGCTGTCTCTTCGCTTCGAAGGGCAGGACGGGGATTAGAAGGCAGCTGGATGATGAGTTCTTTCAACACCCTTGAAGTGTGGGATTACGAATAGGGGGAGGAGGGGGCGGTGTGTGGGCGGAACTTTGCTTGAGTGTGCAACTTGCAACAATTGAAAGATGGCAGCCGGGCAAGTTTCCAGGCAAGATTTGATGAGGCAGCTCAAGTGGCAACAAGGCTAGAGAAGGGGGGCGATTGTGGCAGATAGCAGAACAAGGGGGGACTGGATAGGGATAGTAGGTGCCAGGAGGGTCAAGTGCAGCAGCCGCTGGCCAATTTGCTTGTCTCTCGTGTCACTACAAAAGGCCAATTCAAGCGGCGTAATCTAAATAGCTAGAAAATAGCTCGCAAGAATCTTTCTCTCTCTCCTCTTCCAGATGTCTGGGTATATTTTTGGTATCTCACAGATACCTATATAATTGGCCCCAAAACCAAATGTGAAATACTCGCCTATAAGTATAGACTCGACTCTAGATAGGCTATCCTATCTAAAATATTAAATATTTACTGTTCAACAAACTTTACAAAACACTTATCATATTTATTGACTTTTTTCACCCTCGTTTTTCCTTCTCCGTTTTTTATCGCCTTTTTGCCGATAAGCTTTTCGAAAATTTCTTATATTAATAAGCGATGTCAACAGCTAAAAAAAAAAAAGAATGGAAAAAAATGAGGGTAGATACTACTGGCAGTGGGAAGGTTGAAAACTGAGGCGTAGAATACAGAAGTACAGGTAGAAGATATCAGAGCAATCAAAGCGTAAATGATAAATAAGCATAAATAATTTCGTTTTCAACCTCTTTTATTTAAAACGCAATTTCTTAGCATTTTTTTTATTTTTATCCATTTGTTTGCCATCAACAGATGTTAAATTGATATTGAAATTCCCCTCTCCCGATCTAGAGATTCAAACACACACTCGGCAGTGACTTGTTTGTTTATTTGTTTAGCGTAAAGTTTTGTGATTAATATTAAGCATACGCCCTGTTTTATGGTCCTCATAGCCTTGGCCTAAATGTGGCTTTTGGCCTAAACAGCAGGAAGTTTTTTCGCCTTCGTCTTCTGGGGAGAAGCCCACCACACACGTGTTTGGCCAAAAAGAATATCTTATAAGCGCACAAGTTGTATCTGTGTATCTGTAGCTGTGTATCTGAATGTGACAACAGAGTTGGCTGCGCCTGAGCTTCAAGTGTTTGTATTTCTTTTCGCTTTTAGCTTCTTTTGGCCAAGCCCATACGAACAACAACAACAACAACAACAATAAAATGTAAAACGCAAAACGAGATATTTTACCTATTTTTGTATTTTTGTCAAGTTTCATTTTTTTTTTCGCCATATACATATATATGTATATGTAGTGTGTATATCGGCATATATAGTGTGTATCTGTATGTAAATCGTTTATATTATTTTTTATTTTTTTTTGCGCTTTCTGCTCTCGTTCTCCTGCTTTGCTTTTTGCAGTTCGCCAGTCGACAGTTATTAACAATTTAAACAAACAACCCAAGATAAATACAAATTTATTTAAGGCGAGTCCCCCACCAGTTTTTTCAGATACTTTTTGCACCTCAACCGGCGAATAATAAAAAACCTGAAAAAAAGAGAATCTGACTGGCGCTCGGCGACAATTAATCTCTTTGTTTGTCGCATCCACAAGATACAACGCAATAGAACTCATTCAAATTGGGCAACTAAAATGATTATAATTAAATTTCTTTATTTAATCGCTAGGAATTTAACAAAAAAAGACCAATTTATTTTTGTTTAACCTTTTCAAGCGATAAATAACAGGTTGAAAGCTTATCTATCTATATCCCTTATATCTTAAATCATAAATTTTTAGACAAATATATGTCTTCTATCTGATGTTAGTGTATCTCGATTTGATCGTAAATTTCTTT